GCGATGCGGCCGACGCGACGCCGCCCGGCCAAGACGCCGCTTATCGCGACCTCGGCTGGTATGGATTTCCAAAGTCGCCGCACGACCACCAATCGACCAGTGACCCCGTCTACGGTCACCGCGGAACGGGCGGTTATCAAGTACAGGAAAACGTGGCAGATTTCAACGGAATATTTTCGATCGCCGTCCCGCCGAAGCACCGCCCAACTTCCGCACAGGCATACCACAACAATCCTTCACCGGTGTCGGACGTCGGCAGCGATAACACCGTGGACCGGATGCCGTCGGTTCTGTCCATCGCTTCGCCGCCGATCGTCAACAACGTTTACTACACGCTCGATCCCGTCGTGCCCTACAACGACGTGGCACTTCGATCGCAGCGCAAATCCGTTGGACGGCGGTCCGTCGAAAATGTCAATTGTCAAGTAGTCTCGGGATGATTTATAATAATTAGGCTTTGGTACCGCGGTGTTTGTTTATTTTAACGTGACCACCATTTATTAGCTTTTTAGTGCTTTTTCCATAGATAGCTATTATCTACGGAAATGATTTCACAACAATTAAAATATGAAAATATGTTTATATCCTATCAGCGTTGTGCGAATTCCACGTGATATATTATAAGCTTTGAGCTCCTCGCGCCGATGACTATCTATATCGATTGATAATTTTGTTTCGATTAAAAAATCAATTTCAAAAGATACACTGATACGTGATGACAGCGATAAAGTCATACAAAAATAAAAAAATAAATAGGTAATACAATTAAATATAAGACGAAATTTTCTGTTTTGGTGCATGTCTGTATGTATGTTTTTAGAGCTATAAGTTCCTAAACCTAGATTATAATATATATAATATATATATATATATATATATGTATTAACTAGCAACTAGTAATAAATTTAAGTACGTGCAGTATACAATTAAGACGTGGTCTATTTAATGGATTACATCTAATTTTCTTGGGTTTCTTGGGTCAATTTTAATGGAGAAAAAAATATATTATGTAAATCTTTTAGATTTTCTTATTTTTTTTTTTTTTTTTTTTTAGTGACAATTTATACTTTTGGTATCATGATAGAAGTACAATATATTTCTTTAAAAACAATAATGTTTACGTATTACATATTAAACAAAAATATTGTCTATAAATAAAAACTTAATTTTAGATAACAAAATAAAAAGTTGACTTAAAAAATTATATTCCAACATCTAAACTCCAATTACCTATTTATTATAAAAATAACGTTTGTTCAATAATCATTATATATTAAATAGAGAAAAATAGAGAAAGAGAAATACATACAGTTTTTATTGTAAAATTAAAAATATAGATTGTTATTAAAAAAAATAAATAAACCTAATAAAATTTTACTAATTTTGCTTATTTTTTTACTTTTTACTATGTAATTTTTTTTCTACAAAATTATAAATATTGATTAAGATTATAATTTTTATATTATGAACATAATATAAAGTAGCAATTTAAATTGATCACCTAAAATAAGCACACTGTGCCCTTGTCATTTTTGCTAAACTTTGATGTATTGGTACGATAAAACGACACAGTAGAGATCAGGTGTTTGCGTACTAAGAGAAGCTAAATACATTTTTTTTTATATAAAATAAAAGTTTATGTGGTGATTCCTATAGATGTATTTAAACACCAATTTCATTTGATTGGTTATACGTCAAATATATTATTTGTGCAAAGGAAATAAGAGCTAACAGATTATAGGAATTATAGAACTATGATTATAAGTTATAACCTGTTTTTTCCAATATAAGAGTCAAAAGAAACGTCAATATTTTAGCTTCATTTACCGTAATATAATATTTATATTATACATGTTATATTACATTGAAAACGTAAGTATGAAACTGTTCGGAAGTTAAAAATAGTTATTTGTGACTTTGTATTCAAATTAATAATTATCATAATACAATAATTTGACCTTGACAAGTAGACCAATGTAAGCTATCAATAATCTAGCATGAAATCGATAATATTTATACGCGCACCTGTTTAACGGCGTGACAAAACGTCTAGTGCAATATTTGCGTTAACAATTAAAATTAGATGTATAGTTTGTATGAGTTCCAGAAAATGGTTTAATTTCGGAGGTCAAACACATGAACATTTCGTAATTAAATACTGGACAATGTACTAAAATATAAAATAAAAATTTCTGATATAACAATAATTATTATTTTTTAAATTTTCCGCAACCAATAATAATATGTTGTATAATATAATATATACACTACCGCGTATTATTATACAATAATATGTCTATAGTGATATAAAATATATTATTTTTGGCGTACTGTTGTTGTTATTATTATTGTACGGGTATAATATACAAAAATAAAATAAAAATTTGTCACGGCAAAAGAAGTCGTTTTTCTCGAATTGTATTTGTATGTGTATGTATTTTTTCTAAAGAAACAATTCATACACAAACAACGAAGCAAATATAATTATATGAACACTATTTTGTAACAAATCGAAGAAAAACACGAGGTCAATACAGTTTTCTGGTGGAAGTGTGGAGAAAGTACAAATGGTGCAATGTATAGGTAATCTTTGATACAGATGTCTCGTACTCTTTTATACTTATCTTCAAGAATCTTCAAGTAGGTAAGCTACAATTTTAAGCTTCAATATGAACAAAACATTAAATATTATTACAGTTTTTTACACCGAGTATCATATTATGCGCACGAAAACAATATATTTCAGTAATGAAAAAGCAAACAAGTTATTGAAAACTGTACAGAAAAATCAATATTAAAATATAATATTTAAAGAATAAATAATAATAACAAAATATATATTATGTGCGTAATATTATCAAATTTAATAATTTGTTTTTAACTGAAAAAAACTAATTTTATTACGAAAAATAATAAATGTAAAGATATATGCTTTCATAATATTTTGAAATTCGATACTTTTTTTAATTCTATTATTTATTTTCACAGAATGAACAAACAAAGTATTTTATAACAAAAGTATACGTCTTTATATTACTGTTATTATAAAAAAAAATAAAATTAAAAAAAAAATACATTTCCACATTAACAGCGCATTTTTTTTTAATTTTATAATTTATTAAATTGTATACCAATACTGTTTTAATATATTTTATAATTTGTACGTCATTAATAAAAGCAAAACAATGTATTCCAAATTTAAAAACGTATAAACCATAATAAAATAAGACTGGGTAAGTATAGGTACTCGTTTGGCTTCACTCGTGCAAGACAGTGCGTTGTATTATTATTGCTTAGATAAGAATTTGTGTTGCATTTTTTTCTGTTAATAATACTGTATTACAATCTTAATGTAAAATTACAATGAATTATAATTTTGAAATATCTTTACTTAAAAAATTATAAGCTAACAGTAGTTCAATGACCTATTCGGTTCTCCGTGGATATTTATTCTCTTAGTTACCTGCCCACCCGCTAGATCAAGTTAAATTAACCATGAAAGGAATACGGATAATTATTAATCAATTGCAAAAATAAAATGAAGAAAATTGTATATAGGTTATATTTATCAAGAACAAGATACGATTAAATAGATAGAACTACATTGAAATTTCAAAGAAAAGCACGAAATATATTTTTATATTAAAATTGTATTCCCGTGAAAATGAGAATAAAATAAATATTATATAAATTACATTTTATTTTATCAAAAATAAATACATATCATTTTTAAAATAAATTTTTATTAAAAAAATTAAACTTCAAAACCTATAATTTTATGATTTATTGTCAGAATATTTTATAATACTTGTGTTTTACTTAATCTTTTGTTATAGATTAATAAACCGATAAATTTATTTGTTTTATAATATACTGTGTGTTTTTTTATATCTGACTCTTTGACGTCACATTTAGAAAACTTAAGGTAGTTAGAAATTTTAAACCTTAACTTTTAAAGTGATTTATGGTAATAAATTGGATCTAGTTGGTACTTTTTAAAATCTTTAAGAAAAAAAAAATGTTTTTTTTTTTTTGAAAATAAACTTTAAATCTATATTTTCTAAACATAATTCTTAAAATATTTTGGCTCTATTTGTACTGTTTTTAAACATTTGAAATTTTTGATTTATTTTTATAAAATATTTAATGTATATATGTATGTTTATAAAAAAGCTTGAACAGCTGAGAATAGGTAATACAAAGCTCCACATAAATTGTCCTTAGAACAATCTAAAAATTTAGAAAGTACAATCTTTTTTAGAAATTCGAACTTAAAATATTATTGAAATAGGATATTTAAGCTAAAAATATTAATCATATGAACTTGCATTGTATCCCAAACATATAAAATATATGTATTATAACATAATGATATTTTCTTTTGAACCTATTCAAACTGTCTTACCTACACGTTGGTATTGACTTATAATTTATAAATTATAATTTGGTACCTAACAAAATATATGATATGATATTATAGATTATAATAATATACACAATATTTGTCAAAAATTAATTCAATACTTACTAAAATTAAATGAGTACAACAATTAAATTATAAAATAGCCTTAGAACGATATGTCGTCTTCACGACTCAAAATCGATTTTGTAAACTACTCAAGAACGAGGTACACTGGAAAATAAAATAAATATTTTATTATAATTTTTTAATAACATATTAGGTAAATAATAAATATTTCTATTAAAATATTTGTGTTAGGGCATTCATTGGGGATATGGAGACAAGGCCTTCTCTGTTTTATATATTATCAAATATTTAAGCTCCGCTGCTAATGTTTTCTGAAATTCTTGCCTATAATATGCGTATACTAAAAATACGAACTGTGTTGCACCTATACATATGACAAACAATTATATCGATAAATAATACTCTGCATTTGATAATTCTGTAAAAATCGACCAGAGAAATCTTAAAATATTATATCATCATAATGCCCGTAAAAAATTCTTATAGTGTATTGGCTATCAATATTACATCAGGGATTATATTTTATATTAAAGAAAAAAAATACTAAAAAATTTAAAAATAACAAAACCACCATATAACATTATATATGTATACGATATTATGATTTATAACTGGCAACTGAATCCTACCACTGCAGTAGCCGTGGACCGTCGTGTGATGTAAGCAGCAACAGGCGTCTTTGGTAGATCATCCCCCCTAGACCTTTAAACGAACCGGAACAAAATTGCCTACATAAAACAGCATGCGCTGCCGTACGACACGTCTATTATTACTGCGCTGTGTTTGTGTTGAGAGTGTTTTTTTTTCGCCCCAAATCTATCGGTCAAAATAAACGTAACGTAAACGTCGTTGTTTTGAATTGTTTTTTTCTTCATTAACCGTTATCAGTTCGTTGATGGTATTTCTCTAAACGCAACCAAGTGTCGTCCACCCATAGGAGATGGTCAGTAAAATATTATTTGATTATTTTTTATTCACTTAAGTACACATCAAATACGCAATGTGTTTTGCGTGGGCATGTGTTGTTACAAGTATTATGCACATAATAATATTATGTTAATCACTCATTTTTTTCAACAATTTATCTGAAAAAAAAACAAATAAATTACTCGCGCTTTGTCGTTTATGTCATTTTATAATCGTCGAATTGAAGACAAACTATGTATAGTTAAGTCCTAATTCACAACATTTATATTTTATGACACCTACATTATTATGAGTTATTTATGTCCCCCTGATTTCGAATGTAGATAACCTATTGATAATAACAATTAAAGTTTGATCAATCAAGTTTATTTTTATTTTTTAAATATTTAAATAACATTTTTAATTTTGTTACCGTCTTCTACTCTTGTATAACTTATTTTTAATTTTCATCATAATAGGTTTATCGTGCTAAATAACAAAATATCAGATAAATAAATTATTGTCTAAAGTATATTTTTAAGTAATAAGTTACATATTAATACATTTTACTCTATCGTAATCACAAAGCAAAATTAGTCTCGGGATATTGATATATTATTTATATCAATAAAAATATACATACTATCAAGTATTTAGATTTTAAAATGTCTTTTTTCTTCTTTTTAAAATAGTAGTATAGATTTTAGGTCTATAAAGTTAATAAACAAGTATTTCTAAAAACAATATTTTTTTAAAAGATTAATCAAAATTAACCCAAGTTTTTATACTTCAACACTCAAATAAATTGATCTTAAAAACATTGTTAATCATAATTTTGAATCGATAACTGCAATAAAGAATAACTATAATTATTTCTTCTAGTTAATAAAACATTATTTGAAAATAACTAATAAACAATAATATTTGAAATCATTCTAGCTAAACTAAATAGGTACCTACGTCAACAAAAATGTTAAATTTTGTAAGTATAAATATATTAAGATTTATTTCAATTTTGGCTTATTTAAGAAATTAAAACAACAATGCGACGATGCGACCAAGTGCTATTGATGATAAGATAAAATTTGATAAAAATAGTAAAAATATTATGCAACTAAATAATGATTTATTAATTCATTGATATTGTTCTAAACAAATATAAATGCGCAGCATAAGGCATACACATAATAAAATATGTAAAATGTAATTATTAATAAATTCATGCTTTAACAATACTTGATATTGTTAATGTTTCAGCTTGTCGGGGCGTTCATCTTAACACTATTAGCTTTATTTTGTTTCGACGGTTCTTTTGGAGAAGAAAGGTGAATTGATTGTAAAATATATAATACATATTTATTTTAGTGTCTACTTGAGTTATTCTTTACCGATACCTATATCTTTACACACGTGTATAATATTGTCAAAAGAGTAATATTAATCACTGGATATAGAACATTTATCCGTTTACTATATATATATATATATTTGAAACAGACTATTAACCTAATTTAATCGTTCAGGCTCGTGAGCTTCTTTAACAAATTAAACAAGGAAAAAAATATGGGACAGATACAGAAGAATCGTGACATTTAACCTAATAAGTCGTAATACGTAAGTTCCTACATAACTTATGATTATAATGCCTCTAATGTTCACAATCTAAGGGTATTCTTATACATATAATATATATATATATAAAATTCGTGAATTTTTTACACAATCATATATTTTAAAACTCGGTCGCGATAACTACTTAAAAATTATTTTGAAACCGTGTGAATGATTATCGGTAATAGGTAAAGAATCGATTACAGATAATGTGTTCAATAATGAGTTTGGACGTTGGGTTTCGATAGTTATCTAGGACATGGAGACTTCTCGTCGGGCGGAGATCTTTCATCCTACCATCATTCGGGAGGCCATGGCACCCACAGCGGCCACGGACATGGTGGGGGTGGTGGCGGAGGCGGCGGTGGTGGCGGTGGCCACGGAGGCGGCGAGCACATTCACAAGGGCGAAGTGATACATAGGCATGTGCACGAAGGCAAAGTGGAACACATCCACAAGCACGTGGGCCACGCTGAACACGACCACAAGCACGCCGGACACGCGCACCACGACCACAAGCACACGGGCCACGCGGGCCACGACCACAAGCACCACGGCGCGGCCGAACACAAGCATTCGCATTACGGCAAGGCCGAGCACGGTCACAAGCACGTCGGTTCCGGCGCGCACTCGCACAAGCACGTCGGCGCCGCTGAACACGCGCACAAGCACCACGGACAGGCGGAACACGCGCACAACCATCACGGGCACGCGGAACACGCGCACAACCACGTGGCGCACGCCGAACACGGGCACAAGCACACGCTGCACGCTCAGCACGGGCACAAGCATCAGGGCTCGGCCGGCCACACCCACAAACACCTGGGACACGCCAAGCACTCGCACGCGCACGGCGGGCACGCGGACCACAATCACAAGCATCACGGGCAGGCCGAACACTCGCACGGGCACCACGGCAGCTTCGGGCACGGGCACGAGCACCACGGCAAGTCCCAGCACACGCACGCCCATCACGCCCAGGCGTCGCACGGCCACAAGCACACGGGCCATCACGCGCACTCGCATCACCACGGCGTCGACGGTCACGGGGGCGGCGGTCACGGCGGCCACGGCGGTCACATAGGGTACCTGGTGAAGAGGAACGACGGCGTGGTGGCGGCGCCGGCCGAGGGACTGAGCAAGTACTACAAGGCGCCCGCGGTGGCCGCCGCCGTACAGGAGGCTTCGCCGTCGGCGGTGCCGAAACTCGAGGGCGTACCGTTGGAAGAAATGTTCAGCAAGGTGGAGATCGCCGATTACGGCGGCTCAGCTGGCACGACCGAGTGAAGTGAGTGAACGCGATCAGCGATTGACTCGACGCGATCAAACTTGTTATTCGTCTACGTTTGCCACGATATTATCCATTTTTTTTAAAAATAATTCAATAATAACTATATTACCATATATGCGAGAGAATGTTATTATTATTTGTTTACCTTATAAGTATTATTTTATTAATTGTGTTTACTTTATTTTTTCTGCTTTTTGTTATTGATAAACATTAAATAATATATGAAATATATTATTATATTATGTGTTGTTAATATTTATCTTATCGTATAGGTAGTAGTAATAATAATAATATGTACATGTTTGCATCACAAAAGAATAATAATATTATTATAAATGTTATACAATATTTTGTAATGTAAATAAAAATAACACGTTATTATACGCGCTGTCTTGATAAATTGTTATTCCATCATATAAGTAGGTACAAAAACAAAATTAAACACAGTAACGAACAAACGTTGTGTATAATGTGTACGTGTGTGTACGCGTACGTGTGTGTGTGTGTGTGTGTTTCGCTAAAACTAGGTTTTTGTAGCGTGAAGGAATGTTTTTTGTCGTGAAACACTGCGCTCGTTCGGTTTCATTAAACAAAATTAGTCAAGGGTTGTTTTGAGTTGCGCAATATTATAACAGGTGGAAATTGGACCCAATTAACTGTTGTAACTCGCGTTGAGCGATTGCGTAACGCGGTAGATATACCACTGTCGGAGCTGTGGAAATGTGGCTTTTCCGACGGATACCTGTTGCTACTGCGTTATTGTATAAATGGACAACGTGCAATAATAATGATTATAAATATCTAACAATATAATTACGATAGATACGACACAACAACGATGACGACATAACAATAATAACAATAATGGGAAACAAAATTGTTTTTATTCATATATGTATATATATATATATATATTATACACAGGTAATGGAGATGCTAGTAGAGTGTTCAATCCATCTTGTTGAGCGTGTAACGCAATATCCTAAGTTCGTTGCTGATGTTGCTGGCCAACTCTTGCAGTTGCAGTTTCGAGTCCAGCACCTGTACGCTCTGCGTGTAGGGATTATATCGGATTCCGAATTTTTTCGGTATTGTTTTTGCAAATTTTCTGTAAGAAAACGAAAAAAAAACCGTTCGTTTAAGTTCACTTGAGAAACAAACAAAAATTTCGTCTATGCTGTCTAATGGCGGTGGGGTGGGTGGTATTGGTGAGTATGGTCTGAGGTCAAATGTTATTAATGTTAACGCGGATGTTGCTCACATAAGTTTGTCTTTGACGTCGTCGAAGCTCTCGGCGACAAAATACGTGGGCTGGTACTCAGTGATTGGATACTCCTGTTTGCCAGTCACCTCAGGATCGAACGGTTTCAGCTCCGGTTTGCCCGAAAGCGAGTATTGGAGTTCGCCGATTGATGACAGTAGTCCAGCGCCATACGCTTTAAGCTCACCGTTCTGACGACACAATCCGAACTCGACAGTGAACCAATAACACTACAACACGGCACACGTCATGTTACACAATATAAAATATATAAAATTCATATAATTTTCAGGGTTGTTTACCAAGCTTAAATATTCACTCACATTTTATTTCTTGTATATTTTGAATTAATCCTAATTTTTTTTTTAACTTTAAAGATATACATAAGTACCCTATTTCCAATTATTAAGATTTTGTTTTTATGTATTCTAAAGAGAGTTCTACAGGCTATAATGATACAAGCTATTTTTGCTTTCAAGCGAAACTAAAATTATTTTACTGTACATTTTTAAGCAGACGATTGTTTGAAAATGTTGATGAATCTAAATAAAAATTAACTCTTCGGAGTAATAAAATTTACATAACAAGGATAATATTGTTATCTTTCAAAAACATCAAATAAATTTAGTTTTAAATCTTACATTTAATTTACTCCGACAACTTTTATAAATTTTAAAATGTTAAAAAATTATATTTATTATTAAAATTATAAAATTATCATAGCCTTTTTATCTTCCATACTCGTTTATCATACACCTATTATTTTTAGTACACCAAGTTGAATAAATCAAAATCTACAATTTCAAATTTCGATTTAAATACATAAACAATTTTAAAAAGTCATCTGATTAACAACTTACAAGAAAAAAGATAATTGAAAACAATAAATCAGTATTATCGCAAAAAATCTAAGTATTTGAAAATATAGCACTTAAATATACTTAGAAGTTGTAAAATCATAATTTAAAAAAATTCATAGTCAAAAGATAAATGGGGGTGAACATGTTAGGCGAATCACTCTGTATATGTGTGTGTTTATGACGGTATACAACAACGCATGAACAACCGTGTAACACGCGTATGTATATTATTGTACCAATGTCATAAAAGAAAATTAATATCTCAGCCGATACGCCAACATTACGATATTACGATATCGAATTCTTATAATCTATATATTACACGTGAAAATTATACATATATTGTGTACGGTTTGATCGTTACGCACTATCTGTATATAAATAGGGTTACTATATTGTTATACGATACATAAATTATAACATTATTATTATGCTTCAGTCACAATAATATTTTATTTAACACTCACTATAGGTAGGTACTTTTAATAACTAAAAGTTTATATGTGTCATGCCAAGTTGATGGAAAATAATCATTTTCCATTATTTTTCATTTTTTCAGCCTATTTTAATGGAATTATTGATAAAACAGATTTTATTCACGTGATTCTTTACGTTTTAATAATAAATAATTATGTAGGTATATTTATATGATGCATTTGAGTGAATTTTGATTTTTTTTTTTTTTCATATAAATAACTATGGCCATAAAGGAAGTATTATTGATTTTTCTTTAATAAATTTGTATGATATTATGTATAATTACTAATTGCTGTTTTAAAATATATTTTTGTTTTAATCGCTATATATATATAGATATATTTATATCTAAGTTTTATTAATTAACGAGGTTAAATTAAAATTAGATTATAGTCAATTTCGGACTTGTATTGTAGAATCAAAATTATCAAATTTAAACACTTTTCTTATGTATAAAAAACAACAATGCGTGACAGCAGTTATCAAATAAATCTACCTACGTAAGTATTTCAACGCAACGAAATATAGTTGTTATGGTCAAGTGCATGTTATGTTATAAATATTTATATATTGCGCATGCGCATTTACCGTGGCCAATTTTTTAACATAATCGTCAGGGGCGCCAAGCGACGCTAGTCCAATTTCTTGAGAGAATTGTGCAAAAGCTGGATTAGCGAACAACGGTACGTGGCCCAACAGTTCATGACAAATGTCAGGTTCAGGCGTGTACAACGGCCGACTATGATGTCTGATGTACTGTGTGGAATGGAATACTCTGAAAGCTAGCCCTGCTAAGAAATCTCTGGATGAAAGAAGCCCACCAACAGGCCTTAAAGTGAATCCGGTACTATCTGCAATAAATTACAATCAAAGATCATAAAAAAATAAAACATTTATTTTAATTTTTACTAAATAGGTTTTTATTACGCGAGTATAATACGTGTTATCTATATTATTATGATGGCGTCCTAATGTTTTAATTTTTTAAATGTTCTATTATACACATCATAATAAAAACCTGTAGTAATTATACGAATAATAGTTATTATTATTTTTACCCTTAAGAAAATTAGAAATATCCTCGAATTGCGGTATGCAGTCCTCTCTATAACCACAATTTTCAACGAATAAGGGAAATAAATGATTATATTCATTACACGCATGCGTCGGATACAGTTTAGTTAGTTCTCTGAACACAGTGCCCCACGTCTTTATTTCTTGTTCTGTGTATTCGATACGAGGTAATGGATCTCCGCTGTAAATTAAACATTTTATTTGTTAAATACGGTATTGTACTTGTATTCAAAATGTAATATGCTCTAATAATTCATAAATAATTATAATTGCGCAATTTAATAATTGTTTTGCGATTAGTAAATTTTAAAGATATTGCACTGTCGATCACATACTGCCTATAATTCAACGCGGTGTCGGCCAAATACTTCCTCCTCATTCTATACACAGGATCTGTGAATCCGGGATGATCGGCATTCAGTTCGGCTCCGTGTGATAAAATCTGATTGGCATACTTGTCCAAATCTCGGATCCGCAACGGAAACCATGGTACATATTCTACAAGATAAACGCCACGGTTTTAAGAACCAAAATTCTTGTCTCATGTTCGTCCCTTATCCACCCTACCCCTTAACCATCTCGAAAACACTCACTATCTTTCACTTTGCTATCGTTGAGATTGTTTCTAGATACTACGGAACAGTACGTCATCGTGCCCTTCAATATTTCCACCACTTTGGGCACGTTACCACCAGGTGCGCATTCGACGAAAAACTCATACTGGTCCGGTATCCTGTCTGACGACCGGGATTCGATATGCAACAGGTTCACATTGTATTCCTATACGGTACATAAAAATTGAAACCACTGTCAATTTATTATTATTATTATTATTATTATTATTACTATTATTGAATAACCACAATTTGTAATCATAATATGTTTCGATTTATTAGGTTAATTTTTTTCTCGTATTAATAGCTTAAAAAACTTTGAATTACATAAATAGGAAATCATGCATTTGACACTACTCGCTTAATCACTGTCAGTTATGCTACGAAATAATTTATTATTTTATAAACCTTTGTTACGTTAGACATACTGTAATATAATTTATTCCGAACAAACAAGTGGTATCGTGTAATCCATTTAAAGTGTTATTTATTTTTATTAATAGTCAAACATATTATTTAGGTAATTATTAATTGAACTAGTGCAATTCAAAATGATAAAGATATACTGTAAATGCATTTACCTTGAAGAGTTTCAATGCCTTGGCCAGAGTTCCGACACTATCATTTCCAGGTGAAAATATTAGCGTGATGGATTCTTCATCAAGAGGAGCTATGTATGATCCTTTGCGAAAATTAGGTGTCTAAAATAATGGAAAAAGTTTTTTTTTTAGATAATATGCCTTTCTGTGAAATTATACCAAAATTATTTTAAATTAATAAAACAATTTTCTATGTTATGTAATTGTTACACACGTATAATATTATTATATTATTTTATTTTAAGTTTATATTTAGAATAATATTATACTTATTAAAATTGATGTTACTAACTTTCACATTAAAAATAAAATCACCAGTTAATATGTCTCGTATACGCATAATACACAATATACTTTGAAAACATATAAAGTTTTATAATATTTAAACTCTTGTTTAAGTTATACCTAATAACTTATTTACACAAAAAAAATACAATTAATACTTAAAATATAATAATGTAATAATTATAGTTGGTTTTATATTTAAGATAATTGTTACGAAATTCTACCATCATTAATTTTTAAAAATATGAATAGAATATGCATATTATACAGCTAAATATATAATATATATTGACAAATGTGTTGAAACAGATCTACCTATTTATTCTGTACTCTTGGTACAAAATAAAATAATATGTCCTATTCGAAGCAAATTTCGCAAATGATCAAAGTGATATTACATAATATAAATCGTTTATTTATTGATAATTTTTTTGAATTTAAAAATATAAAAAAAATCAATCTATAAATTAAACATAAATGTTAATCATTTACATTTTGACATAAAATCAATATTTTATCCTGAATTGTAACATATTTAAAATCATATTTGTAAAAAATGTTAACAAATGTTATAAAGAATCTAAACATTATTAAATAAATATTTCTAACAATACAAAAAGTTAATAAGCAATAAGCATCAAAGAAGAATTATTTATAATATTAAGTATAATAATTATTAATTTATCATAAAACTACTAATGAAGAATAAATATTTTTATTTTATTATTAATGAACCAAGAAACAAAATTAGCAAAACTATAATAATAATATTTTTTATAAACAATTAATATTATATAATAATACATAAAACTATAATTTTATTTAAAATATAAAATAATAATTGTATTTGTATCATAATATAATATTATTTGTTTCAATTACTTACCCCTAAGCTATTTTCTATCACTTTAACATTTCCGTTCATTGTGTACAAATAGAAAAGTATTAACGTAAATCTTTAAGCACAAATGTCTAAAACCTATCTACTCAAACAACGGACAGATAATGCTTTATAATACGTTAAAGCTAATATATAAACATTTAAATATTAAACCCGTTTTCTGAAATCAATTTTCCCCACTTAAAACTGAGTGTGATGTAATATTTTTATTAATGTATATACTTATATAGTAGTAGTCATCTAATTGATGAACGTGATTATAATTTTGTTCTAATTCCGAGAATAGCACGTTTTTAAGATTGATGTTTATTTATTATAAACAATTATTATATAAATAAATCTATAAAACATAAATAATTATATGTTTTATATTTCTATAAGTATTACATTATGTTAATCATTCAAGTTAATTCGAAAAAGCATGATAAGTGCGCGTTTATTTTTATAATGATAGATATGTATATCATGTTTATGTTATTGCGAAAAATTAAGAACTACTTTCACAGTAAATAAGGTATCTATGATGTAACTCGTATCAATTATTGGTAAAATTACAAGGTAGGCACTACCCGTTAGGATTTATACGAAACGGTAATCAACTTATAAATAATGATAAACTATCCAAACTTTAAAAGTGATTTATCATTATAATTTTAGACTTGATTCTTGTATCATGAATAAATATGTAAATTAATGCATTATAAAAAAATTACGTTTATAATTAAACTTTATAAATACATATTTTAATTTTGAATCAATTAAATTTAACTTGGTGTAAAGCAAAACGTTTTTTTAAAATTGTAAGATTCCTTCATAAATTATAAAAATAACATGAAAATATCATGATTTTATGTTAATAATTGTTAATACATTAAAAAAAAAAAAAAAAATAGAAAACTATTATTGAACATTTGATATTAAAAAAATTTCAAACTAAATTTCTTTTATTTGTATTACTTAACTAAATTATTATTTTGAAGTCTCTACTATTACTATAATAATTGCAATGCAATAAATAAATCATTTAATAGTTAATAAAAAATCTTTTATCATTTTAAAAAATTAAGACAAACAAAAAAGTATACTAAATATTTTAAGTTAAATTTATAAATAAAAATTTTAATTTAACTTGATAATACTATCAAAATAATTATTTTTTATTATGCAACTATTATTTTTATTATTTTTATTTATACAGATATTTTAACCGTATAGATAAATTTTACAATTTTTATGAAGGAAAATATCCAGGATATAATAAAATCAAGAATAATTGTCGGTTACCGTATTTTTTATGCAAATATCTAAAAAAAAAAACATATTAAAACATAATAGTTATTATTGGAATAATGATAGTAAATATTGAATATTATTCATTATGGCAATCATTTGTTTAATATTTTAAACGCTTTCAATTATACATGTAAATACAGTAGCCAGCATAGATCATCAACATTTTAACTTAAAACGTCAAAGATAAGTGGATCGAAACAAAAATTAGTTAATCGAAATATTACTATTTACGTGTATAAATCATTATATTACATTATGTTTAATATATATACACATTTATAAATTGGAAGCATTTAATTGAAAATGATACAATGGATGTTTTTTAAACATCATAAATTCATAACAAATCAACATCATTTGATTATAATTTTTAAAATAACATTCACCATGGTTAATTGGTATTATACAATTAATTACCTTATTTATTTATATCAGCTATCGTATTATATTAAGCAATTATTATTTGATGCAACAATGATGTATTTTGCCTTACTCTTTTATGATTTAATTCAAGAAAATTACTGTATTCGATACAATTTTCAATAAAAAAAAATTATTAAAAAGAGTTGAGTACCGCTCTATTGTATAGTAGGTATCAAGTAGTTCACTGTTGTAATGTATATCTTAAATTTGAATTCAATCATATATTATTGTATACAAAAAAACAATTTTGAGTGGAGACAATATTTAGCTTATATCATAAAATACATTTCATGATAATATTATGTTTAATAATACGGTTTAAAGCGAAATTTTACAATTATTTATTACTAGTTACTTTTTTGAAGATTATTGATAAATATGTCACAAATTTAATGAACAGCTAATATACTTGACAAGTACATCAGTTGCGGAAACCCAAATGTTTCAACCACTTGTTTGCATAAAATAATTAGTACCGCATTTACAGTTTAGGATACAAGAAATAAGGAAAATAAGAAAGAACTGCTTTTAGAAAACAAAATATAATAATTTTATAACACTAATAAAATAAATACTTAAAAAAATATTTTAACATAATATACTTTCACTGCACTAACTTACTAACTGTTACAAAAATAATTTTTTACATAACAACAATTAATGTTTGAGGATTTTAAACTATACACTTTATTTTGGAAAGGGTAGGGTGATATTAATATTAAGGATTGCTATTTTTAATGTTGTAATTATTTAATTAAAATTACGCAAAAATTAAAATAATATAATAATTAACTTCACTAGCATATGGCTAAGAGAGAAAAAAGATAATAAAATTCAATAATCTTTTTTACTTCTTATAAGTTTTATTGTAATATTTAACTATAAAAATTTAATTTCTTTTTGATTAAGTGTATCGTGTATGTGTTTCTCTGTCAAAATATATATCCATTTTTTGCACATTTTTCATAGTTTAAATTTGCACTAAATTGATATCATACATTCTTTAAAAATTATTTGCTCGTTTAAAATTATTTTTTAGTTAACTACCAAATAGTAATAATGTAATGATTCTGTTAAATGTTTAGTCTTATTTAATACCATTGAAAATATTACTGCATAACCAGTAGTACTCAATTTTCCAAATTAATGGTGAACTATATACAACAGGTTAAACGATCTGTTATATAAAAATTAAAATTACTGTTATATCTGTAACGGACAGAAATATGATGAAAACAACTTTTGTTACAATAATAAATTTAAAATTATTATTTTAAACTAAGAATTTTTTTAAATATTGAAGTCAATGGAAGTAATAGTTTCCACAATTTCAAAGAAAAATATTGAATATCCTTATAAAATGTATTTATTATTTTTTATCAATACATACTATGAAAGATTTTTATAATCTATGATATGTGTATATGTGTATACTCACATATGTTAAATGTAATATATATTTATTAGAATAAAGATATCTGTTTATTATTCATAATATCCAATTAAAACTTATACTATTTGAAATAGCCCAACTCAATAATCAATACACACATTATTATAATTTATAATAATTAGATAGATACTAATTTGCAGTATACAGTATACTATACCTATCATCTACTTCTAAAAATACTTTGTATACCTACATAACATTATTTAAGTATCTATATACTATTACATTTATTTAACTATAGATAATATATATTTATATTAAATCATAATTAGCTATTCGTTTATTTAATTTTGTAATTATTTAATAATTTATAATTTTCATCAGTATATGAATCAATAATGAATTGTTGTGAATTATATCATGTAGGTCATTTTTAGAAAATGCGTTTATAATTTTTAAATTTACAATTAATATTATGCAATAATAACTAACAATTACTTAATAGTTGTTATTAATATTTAATTATATAAAATAAATATATTTAAATTTAAATTTAAATATACAAATACATATTATATATTTGTAAAAAATAAACACATCAAATATCCAATTAGAATAATTTGCAGTTTTTAAGAAAAAAAACTATACACAAACTTAATTGTACCTATGTATATTTTGTGTATACACCTTGTAATACTTAAATTAAATTAAAGTATAAAATGAAAGAAATATTTTGTATTTCATTAAAATACAAATTTAAGCTGATCAGTAGATAAATTAAAAGTTATGTTTTCAACGTTTCAACGATAAAAATAATTTTAAATTTTATATGGGTACCTAATGCCTACACTATACAAGTATTCAAATGGAAAACAAACAATACTCATTATTGAATGTCGTATCAAAAATAATAAAACAAAAATCAAAAACAAACAAATATAAATCTAAAATAGTCGTAAAATTCAAACGTGAAACGAGGTACTTCTTAGAGGGGACATTATATTATAACTAAACGAATGATTCGAATGAAATCCTCATATGGCACTCCTTCTAGTTGCATCAGTATACCTCCACCCTTGGACACAGAAAGTTTTTTAAGGACTTCAGAAAATCTGTTCTTATACTAAAATAAAATATTAATCGTCCAAATTAATATGTGCTCAATATATAAATTTTATATTATCCAAACATTAATTATTTATACAGTTACTACAAATGTTTACGGTAAGCAATAATTAATAATAAAATAAAAGTGTATTAACAATATAATAAGTATGTACTTGATTCAAACTAATATATTATTAAACTAATGTACAAATTAAAAATTTAGATAGGAAAATAAATATTTTCATTTTATTATAGGAGCTATTATTGATTTGCTTATATTTTATTAATTCAATATTTACTATAATGCTTTTAATGAGAAGAATATATACTTTATTATTCTATTAATCTCATCACTCGTATCACTCATGTATATTCCTACTAAACATAAAACGTATCGTATTAACGATACCAGACAATTTTATTTCAATTAAATAGGTATTTTTATAGGTACTAATAAACGATTCATGAAATAGATTATTATTAAACAAATTATGTATTACAAGATTAAAATGTTCCCTCTTTAAATAATCGTTTTTTATGTTTATAAAACTATATTAGATTATATATATTAACAAATTTAATAGGTATTTAGAATAATCCTATTGAAAAAATATTATTGTATCAAATAGTATGTATATAAGTATTAAGTATATTATATAAATAGACAATTACTATAGTATTTATCGCTTATAAAATATTATGATTATTATTACTATACCAAAAACATTTAATCATAATTAGCTTTCAAAAATGCAAAGAAGAATACATTTTTTAAATATTTCAGTAAGTACTCAAACTTGACGAATGGAAGAAATATTACAAAATGATTTTATTAGGGCTTGCAGATGTTATAATAACGTAATATTAAACAAAAAACGATTGAAATTTGTAAACGTAATTATAACGGAAAACCGTAAACATAAATAATTAAATAGGTAACACAAAACAAAAGATATCGATTAACAAAATATATGATAATATATCATCAAAAAAAACATAACGCAAACGTTATATATAGTATATATCATAAAAATAAATAATTCATTTCAAATTATTTAATAGTTATAAATTATAAAATATGCTAAACATTTTAATTCTAAATAACGTTAAAAAACACAAAAGTTTAATAACGTTTTAATTCATAATAACGATAAACTCAAAATTTGTATAAGATTTTAATTGTAAATAATGTAGGTATGACAAAATATTTTTTCAAATGGAAGCCCTAAATTTTATATAAATAAATCAATAATCCCGAAAAAAATTTACATCATCAATACAGCTTCATTTACAAAATAGGTATCTTCTTACACATAATTACGCATTAAATATATTTGATTCTACAATCAAAGTTAAATTTTTTCATTGAAAACACGTCTATAATATCAAATAGATAAAACCAACATATAATTTATTCATTAAAAGTACCTAAATTAAAAAAAAATATGCTTCCATCATTTTTTATTAAATATTAACCATTTTTAGTAGTTATTCTGTAAATAAATATATAAAGGTGTATTAATTAATTTTAAATTCAGTAACTCTCGCTTAGGATGTAATGCGAATATCTTAAGTGCAGTTTTTTTAATTTAATATAATATGATTAATTATATATCTTAGCCAAAATATGCACGTTATCAAATATTACTTCAAAAATACTACTGTAAAATATTGGCTCTATATCGTGATTTATATTGACATTCCAATCAATTCATTTACAGTATATGGCTCTTAATTTTGTTCAATATTTTAATATTATTAAAATAATTAATAAGACCTAATAAATATATAACATTACTTATTATTGAGTATAACTGAGTCTACATAAAACTAACAAACCAAAAAAAATTTAATTTTTGAGTAAAATTTTATAAAAAAAAATTAAACAATATTAAAAAATTGATAATTACCTATTTTATTTTTAAAATAGGCGTCAAATGATGATAAACTATGTTGTAAACAGGTTTATTTAAGATCATTACGTACTAAATCATTGTTTTAAAAGTAGCTCATTATTTTTATGAAAATCTTTTATACTATGATCATTAATATAAATAGTAGCTAATAACATAAATCGGTATTATTAACTATAATCTGTAATGATATAAATTTAATTTCTAAAATACTACCTGTAATGATAATATTCTATTTTACAAATTTATAAAGTAGGTAATGCATAAATTAACATTTAACCAGAATTTATTCAAGTAGGTTTAAATATTTATTTATCAGTTACCATAAATATGTTGTAATTCTATTATTATTTTAATTCCTGAAGTATAGAAAATGACTAAACATATGTTTCAACTAATCATAAGTCAACCGAATAGTTTCAAAAAATTGAATTGTTGTGGATATTTTATAAACAAATTACATTCTTATAACTTTTAATAAACACATATATATGCAATATATACGTGCATATAAGTATTTTTATAAACGTGTGTGTATTTATATACATATTACATAGATAGTTATATTTATATTTATTTTTATATTTTCAATATCAATGAAAAAGCGACAAAGACGAAAAAGTCATTACTGGGATCTATTTGGATATAATGTCCTAAATATGTAAACCGGTTAATAAATTAGATAAGTTTATGACTGTGCAGGCGCTAAAACCGAACAAATTGATGACGCCAATTAACATAATCCGACAATCACTTTTAAAGTTCTTCCCTCTGCCTCCAATTTCAGTATCCAATGTTTTCCGTTTTTAGCGTAGGATTAGAAAATTTTATTAAAAATCTGGTTTTTTGAAGTTTCCACATTAGTGTGGGACATATAGAATTTCATATTTATTTATTTTTTATTATCCTCAATTATGTAGGTACAAATATGATTAGCATTTTCTCTATTGTTTCAGTAGTATATTAGATTTATTTATTTTTAAATAAATAGATGCCCAGGTGTTATTTTATGCGCCTTGAAAGTCGATGGGCGTTGAATCTCGAGAACCACTAAACAAAAGGACTGATGACAAATGAGCATTACTACTGTGTCCTGACAATAGAGCCACATTTTTTTTTGTAGTTTATTATTTTTATTTTATTTAAATAAAGGAAAAATAATGCTCGCGTCATTCTTCAAATGGAATAATAATATTACAGCTGTATTGTTGCTGTGATTAGTTGTTGTATTATTCTCAAATAGACCACGTGTGTAATAATTTAATACGATCCTCGCAATGGACTTAACGTCCGTTTTGTTGTTTTAGTATCATCGTTCACAAACGATACAACATATTTTCAAACAAGACAACTCAGTGGCCAACAATATGGTTTAGACTATAATTTACAAAATCAAACAAAATATGATGAAAAGATTGCTGACCGATCAAGAACACTATTCGAGTAAGCTATATATTTAATATAATTGTGTTTAGCTCAGTTTTAGTGATTGAATATTTTTTAAAGAGTTTTTTATACCCTTATTAGTTATTATTGATAACATAAGTTCAAATTTTAAAACTAATGCCTTTAGTTGATAGAAAAATAATTATCAAATAAAAACGTGCTTCATTTAATTTCTAAAAAAAACTTTATTTGTTAACTATTACAAAGTTTATTTAAATTTTACATACATATAAAAATAATTTAAAAAATATTCAAATTGGATAATAAAAATAAAATTTCATCATAAAAAAAAACAAAATATAAACTAGTTAAACTGTAACTGATGAATTGATCGATTCGTACTACTCGTAAAAAAATTAATATCACTGTTGTATGCACAGTAACATACATTGCTCTACCTATCCCGCCTTTTTACGATAATACTGTTTGTAAAACATTTATTTTTAAAATAGAAGTATAAATATTTTTAATCTTTTACAGAAACTATTAATTTATTATTTTTAAATATCTTATCATAATTTAAAACATAATATTTACTATATTATATTTTAAATACACGTGAAATAAATATACCTGATTTACTAATTAATTACACGTGAATTAAGTTCACGGATTTTTATATTTAAACACACGTGAACAAAAAACATGTGATCACGTGGATCTTAATTTTTAATTCATGTTCAAATTCGAGAGATCTAATACGAATCCTGCTAATATATAATAATACGTAATTGATGGAAAAATAAAAACAACAAATCCAATAACATTTATTTTAGCTATAAATATTTCATATCATTAATTTTATCACAATTGTCTTTACGTGATACGTGAACAAAATTATAATATTATATTTTCGTAGTTGGGATAGTCCAAGTGCATCAAAAGATACAAGAGTTGTATCAAAAGAAGAAATAAAAGTTCATTCAAAAGGTATTGATAAAAATTTGGAAACTGAAAGAATTGAGAACAATGTCTGGTGGCCATGGAAAAACTATGACGATTGGCTGAATGGTAGGGGATTAAAATCAGAACAACCAAAAAAACCAGAAAAGAAGACTCGAAAGGAAAAAAAACATAAAAAAAAAAACCGAAAAAATGAAAAGAAGAAAAAGAAGGCAAAACTAGGTAAAAAATTAAACGTTACAGTCAAAAGCAGTGGTCCCTTTTCGGTCAATATTGAAGACAACGAAATTATAAAAAAAGAATCGATACCTGAAATACTTTACGAAGCGTCACCGATTGATATAATTTTAAGAAATTCTTCTTTAGTTCCAACCTTGGTAAAATATACATCAAGAAACTATACTTATGGTACGTTTAAATAAATCATTATATTATATAATATCATAAAACAATCATTATCAATATATAGTTTTAAAATATACAATACACTAATTTTTTTTTCGATTCATTGAATTGTTCTAACACATAATAAATTTAGTAAATAAATATTTTTATTAATTTCTTAACACGTTCATAACTAAATTTGGTTCAACAATATTAATTTTATATGCCATTTTGTACGATTAAAGAATTTAATTTTTATTTCACTCGTCGAATAAAACATTAAAGTTAAAAATTTAATATATTTTTTTCATATATAAATCTAAAATAAAAGAAAATAATTTAATATTGTTAGTATAATATTTGATATGCCTGATAGCCTGTAAATATAATGTTTAAAAAAGAAACTTTTGACATACATTTTAATAATTTTCGACCCATTTATAAATACCGATCATATAATTAACACTAAAAATTATATAATCAACAATACCGCTTACTACCCAATTTATTATGATATAAATTAAAATGTAAATCACCGATTAACGAAACGGAGTCACGCAATAACAATAATATATTTAATAATAAACGTGATGAAGTACTATATTTGAGGTATGACAATTGTGGTATTTACATGACAAATAGTTAAATTTGACCTTTAAACGTACATATCTTTATTTAACTATTCAATACATGATACCAATAATTAAAGATCGTTACACTAAAATATATTGTTGTTCAAAATACATATGAACTGCATTAACTAAATGTTATGTTTTTATTCATAGACCAAACCAAAGCACATAGCTTACTAGTTGATATACTTGATCATAACTTGTTTTTGAAACGATATGTCTATATTGCAAGATTGTTTAAATGAAATACCCCGATCTAACAATCTAAATGATTTCATGGTCGAGATATTTCGTAATAATATAATGTTATGTACAATATAGTAATAGGTGTAATAAAATCTTAAATAATAACTATTAACTAATAAAGAAAAATTTAATAGGAAAAAAATCATACTAAAATTTATATTGAATTAACGAAATAAACTATATTATAAATAATTACTAATATTTACCAAAATGTAGCTAGAACAAAAAATGTATGCGACTGCCAGATTATATAATACGTGTAAATTATTTCCTATCAGTTTAGCCGCGATCTACTAAATAGATCCTAGACACGGCCAAGGTCTTCATTAAATACTTTAATAAACATCTTCAAGTCATTGTCGTAACTTTTTTTTAAAAAAACATTTCTTTTATATACGCGTTGTGATATAACTTCTTACTCAGAAGTCCTGGTATTGTTTTGCGCCTTACTCATTTGCGCATAGATAACTTATTAAGCGTGTGTTTGATTTAATTTTACGGGATTTTATGAATAAACAACAACATGATGCTCCAGTAGTGCGTAGTCAACCGGGTGTGTAGAAATAATATTGTCTAACTTTTATTGTCTTAATGTTTCGTGCAGATATAAACGAATGCTTGACAAATAACGGAGGCTGTGAAGGACTTTGTATCAACACTCCAGGATCGTACAGGTGTCATTGTCCGCCTGGCTTTATGGTAGCTGACACCAAATGCGAAGGTAAACAATAAACTAGATAATAATATGTGGGTTCTTGGTACACAATGTTTTCAAACAATTTTATAATACGCAACACACATATTGCATATAGATTCGTGTAAATGTAATATATTGTTTTAATTAAGTAATATAATTATATAGGTAATCTAAAATAACAAATGGAATCACTATGTACACAGCTACATAGATAATAATAATAATATTATACACATATATATATTTAAATTATGTATACATTTTACGCATTTATAATATAATATATAATATGAAAGTAGCACGCAAAACGTCTCAAAATAACTCATCATATCTCCCAATAATTACTTATGTCAATAAACATTTTTATAATTAATTACTGTATTTAAGAACCACGCGTTTATAATCATTTTAATTTTAAATATTTTTTTTCGTAACGTTTAAACATCTACAAGGCGTAGAGATATCATACTTATTATATTGATGGACTTAAACATTATAATTATTTTAAAAGTTGAATTGTCAATTTCCATTAAATTTTCATTATTTTATGGCTTAGTTTTAAAGTAAAGACAAGAGAAATAATTAGAAAAGTATATGTATAATTAAGTGTATTATATAATAGCTATTAAACAGGAGGTCGTTTATTACGAAAACAAACACAGTGACTTTCTGTTTATTTTAAATTATAATTTATTGTTGTTGATCAATACATTAATATCAGGTTGAAATAAAATTATTTCCAAAGTTATTTTAGATTTAAAAACTATTTTAAAATAAAAACTTCTATTAAATTTATGTTTATAAAATTGTAACAATAACGTAGGTATTAAATACAACTTTATAGGAAAATTTACGTAAACGAGATAAATAATCGATTGACACAATATCTTCAGACGCTTTAATCAATACAACATTTTATCAGACTTAAAATGCAACTAACACTTATCATAACAGCTACCCTGTATTCCTAGGTGGCGCATAGTGAATACTATATAAAAATTATAAAACAATATTATATACTTAAATTTATTTATTTTTGTATATAATATACTACCTGTATCACATAATATATATAAATTATGGTCGTCCCACGCGCGCACTTTATCTATCTATTTTTATATACATATGAATTACGCACTTATACGCAATCTATAAATGTGGTTTCAACGACAAAGACTCGTTCGAAAACGCGTTCGTAATACCGATCACACTTCCAAATGTTCTTTATACGTTTATACGTTGACTGTAAAAACTTAGATGTCACTAATGTGAGACTTAACTTATATTTAAGTATTATTATTATATACTTTCAAGTTCAGGCACATTGGCATCACCGCCGTCACCCTGTGGTTGATCACTTCTGCACGTATACATAAGCACGTGACCAAGAACAAAATTCGGTTTTTTAGTAATATAAACGCGTCCTATTCAAACTCATTCGTTTGGATCAAATGTATATTTTAAAATAAAAAAATAAAAGTCTCCCTTTCTTTTACTAACGTAAAGCGTTATTGTTTCTATGAAATTAACGAAAAAGTAATTATTTTACTTTTTTTATTTTTTTTCATTATCTCAAAATAAGTGACTATAGACTTGATCATCTTTTGAAAGTGACCTACCATACACTAGGTTTAAACTGCGAACGTTTGACCTGGACTACACGTACGGTGTGTACCTACGTAAGGGAGAACGTAAGTCCATACACGTGATATAGCCAAGCCCGGATCAAGAGCTTCAGGGGCCCAGGGGCCAATACATGGTTGTGGGCCCTCGTCAATAAAAACAATTCTTTAAAATTATAAAATTATACAATAAAACAAATTTAAACATTTTTAATTAAGTATGATAACTTAAGAGCAGATTTTTAGGTTCTTAAAAGCTTAAAATATAATGCTAATATGTTCTAAAAAAACCCTAAAATATTCTCTAAATATTCCTTAAACTTGTAAATATGCAGATAATATGATTTGTTTTTTTTTCCAAAATAATTCAATTAAAACAATTAATAACTTATGTACTATTCCTTTTTGGTAACATATAAAATATTTAACTACAAAAAATACAAAACAGTTCATAGGTTTATGAATACAATGAAATATATTATATAAAAACAAAAATAGTAAAAAAAAAAAAAACAATAAAAAACTAAAAACAATACATAACTTGTATGGTCTTTAGTAACAGCTAAGTTATTTAACTATAAAATATAAATCAGTTCATACTTAGTTACCTTTATAAATATAATGAAATATTAATAAAAAAACTAATAAAAACAAAATTAGTTCATACTTAGTTACCTACTAAACTGTATCATTTGTTTTATTATACGACTTTATCCACTGTTTATGTAAATATTTTAAACTTTTGTTAATTTTCGGTATTTAAAAAAAATAAAAATGAATATTACAAATTTAACTAAATCGTCAGACATTAAAGTTAAAATAATAAACAATATAAAAGTAAAAATAGATTTATTATTAGAAATCATTCTTATTACGTTATTATAAGATCGTAAGTACAATCATGAATTAAGAGTAACAGGATGATCATCATTACCAATTTGATTACAAACAAGTAGATAATTGGATGATTTTTAATTTTTATCATTCTTATATAAAATAATTTTTTTTCCTAGACAAAATTTTTGCTGGAAAATATCACAAATCAATAAATTAATAATGTATAATATGATTTTTTATGAAAAATAATCGAATATTATATTCTAAAATATGAAAAATAGGCTAAATATTCTCTTAAGTCCAAAATATGCTTTAATATGCTAAATAAATTTTTTCCTACGAACTCTGTGATGAATAAGTCGTCCACATTTTTCACTCTCATAAAGCTGCATAAAACCAATAAAAATATGTAAAAACTTAAAAATCCGTTCTCTAATGATAACGACTGATGAGGATAAAAATATTAAAAAAATATTATATTTTTATTAAAATATATATTTACACATAAAATTAAGTTTTGTTTATGTAAACAGGTTTAGTCGGTAGGTATCTAAATTATGAGTATCCATGACCGAGACAGTCACATAAACAAATTTTCCAAATTCTATTTTTAAATACAGTAATATCAAAATATATGCCTATTCCCAACAAACACAAACATAGCTATGACGCTATGTTTCCACACTTACCATACTATTGGTGGTAAACACGGTCGACGGGCCCCATCGACTGTTAACTCAAACAAAAAAAAAAAATAAAAATATTTTTGTAGGTACTATAAAAAGTACAAATTATCACTTAATGTAATTTTAAACCGAGAAAACTATGGGCCCTTAACACACGTGGGCCCCGGGGACTTGGCCCCTCCTGGTCCCCCCTTAATCCGGGCTTGGATATAGCAGGAAAAAACCACCGTTGCGTACACCCGTTAAAAACAATTGCAATAACACCCATGTAGCACAAATAAAAAAAAAACTCAAAACACGCATTCCTCGATTCCAAAAACCATAGTCCGATTTGCTGCGTCCGCCATACATCCCGCCCCTTCCCAACATCCCCTCCTCTTCGGCGAACGCGTGTACCGACGTCCGAGTGACCGCGAGGACCAATAACTATACGCGAATACCACCGATAATATCATAACGGCCGTTTATTGTTCATGTTTATAACCAATGCTACTACTCATGCGTGTCGCGTGCCTGGCGCGCGTGTTGCAGACATCGACGAGTGCCTGTTGCGCAACGGACACGGGCCGTGCCAGGGGACGTGCACCAACACCTGGGGCGGGTACAAGTGTTCGTGTCACGGCATACCGGGCACCAGGCTGGCCGACGACCGGCACACTTGCGACGACGTGGACGAGTGTCGGGACGGCACGGCCGGGTGTTCGCACCAGTGCATCAACACCGTGGGATCCGCGTTCTGCGTGTGCCCGGACGGGTTGCAGCTAGACGACGGGTGGAAAACGTGCGTGGACGTGGACGAGTGTTCGGACCCGGAGCTGCAGCGGTCGCCGAACGTCTGCTCCGAGCGCGGTCTGACGTGTCTCAACACGTACGGTTCGTACGAATGCGCGTGACGTACCGTGTGTGCGCATTTCCCGTCCGCGCTCGTGGATTACGCCTCTGTCGTGTCGTAGAGTGTCGACCAGTCGGTGACGCTGTGCGACGACAGAGATAACGACCGCGTTACGACGATATTAACACGACACCGACAGCAACGCGTGCACCGATTGATTAAAACATTTAAAACTCACAAATTCATAACCTTAATCGACTAGTCACGAGTGCCGCCGTTGTCGTTGTTGTCGCTGCCGTTGTCGTCGATGTTGGCTCTTGTTATTAATTATTATATTATAACCTATTGGTCGCGTATTGTTATTATATTGTTATCATTAGCTTTTACTATTTACACCGTAATTTGTTAATATTTTTTTTTTCTCTTGTACGCCTTTGTTATTTCACAAAATATGTATTTATTACGCAAGACGCATACGCACGCGCTAGCCCCTTACAACCCGAACACTAATAATCGCGATTATAATAATGCGCACATTAATATTATGTTTGTCGCGAAATTTATGAAACGCATTTTATTTTTAACCCATTATGTAACCAACGATAGAGTTATGCACAAACGTATGCGATACGTAAAATCGCCGTACTTACCCATTTTAACCGTCCAAGTGTGCATACCATCGAGTATAGATGGTCGTATTGTTGTTTAACATACTTAATATTTTATAATATGTCAAATGTTATTGAATAAATATTTTATATTATTTCCGTTGTACATTTGAAACTCTGAATATCTCGACTCAATTTTATGAATTCAATTTCACCCCACTATTTACAAGTACAAAAAATGAATAAATCGTTTTGAAAAAACTAAATCTGAAGAGGAAAGTTAAAGTAGATTTAGGCCAAAATGTCACTTATTGGTATAAAAAGTGAATCCATCTCTTATACGTATAATAATGAAATGCAGTTCGTTTCGTAAGTGCATAACTTGAAAACGAATAGATGGATTGGACTCATTTTTTTTTTTTTTTTTATGTTTGTAATAATTCGATAAAGTTCAAGTCCGTAGTAGTCCGATAAAAAAAAAAAAATTAGAAAAGTTATTCGGAATATTGAAAAATTCAGGAAAAACTGCAAGTGTTTTTTTCCGATGGGGATTTTCGTAGGAACTCGTGACTTATAACTTATTCGTGTATAACGTTTGCCGAATCAACTATAAAATATGAAAATTATTTATAAACAAAACCACGTTCATTATTAAATATTGTTCTAGATACCTATAAATTTATTGAAATTTATATATTTCAAATATATACTAACGCGGCGAATTCGGGGCTGATGATGTTCACAATATCAATTAATGATAAAATAAGTTTTAAAAATTACTGAAGTTTTAGGAACTACAGGATTTTAAGGTGACATTTTTATAAAGGTAAAAAAGTCTATGAAGATAGCTAGTATAGTATATATCTAAGAAACTAAAAAATAATACTAAGAAATCTGTACAATTGTATTAAAAAATCATATAAAATATACAAAAACATCCACATACATAGGTAAATCGAAAATTATGCTTAATTGACATGGATAATATTCTGAAAAAAAGACTAACAAACAGCTGGTAATTAATACTTTAAATAGAATCAAAACTACCATATTAAAAATTAAACATTATTTTTTATGTGTTACTAAAATAAAATAAATTAACTATTTATTAATATAAAAATATTCATCTCATCAAACAATTTCTTAATTTAAATAATTGTTATAACAAAAATTAGTAAAGTTAAACATTTCAATCTTCATATATCGTCTTTTTAAAATGACTTAATTTATTGTTTCTTTTAGTTTACTGTTTTCAATTTCAATTACTGCCCGATCTAAACAAAACATATACATTTAAATAAAATGTTTACATGTTTTTCTTTTGTTTTTGAATAGACTAGGTATATATAATATATTATATACAAATGTGTGTGTGTACTTGCGTTGATACCTTTAACTTCAATAGTGAAATTACATGTAGCCTCATTTTTTGATGCATCCATGGCCATGTACAATACATTATATAATCCTGGCCCCATGAGTTGACCTGGTTCCTAAACCAATTAAAACGTGTAAATAAAATCAAAAAAATTCTTAAATTCTTATAGTTTACACACACCATTGTTTTTGCCACTTGTGTAACACCTATGTTGTCCAAAAACCGAGGTTCAGGCCATGATACGGAAACAGTGTTCTTTTTTGAAAAATCCTCTATTACCTCCACATACGTAGGACAATCTTGCACTGATGGAACCTCGTCATCTATTAATAGCAAATAAACGATTGTATAAACATAGATATACGATATATTATATACGTATACTAATTTCCTAGTTGAATAAATATACTATTTTACCAGTCACTCGTACAGTTGTCCTACATGATGCAATATCCGTATCTTCGTCATCTCGAACCGTGTAAGTAATTACATACAGACCTGGTATCAAAGTTCTCGACGAATTTTTGTACCAACCGGAACTCAATGTACCAAACCTGTATATGTTTTAAGTTTGAATTTCATCAAGCAATTTCTATACTATTGAATATTTTAATATTATAATATTATAATGCCATACCGTGTGTTCATCAATTTAAGGAACACTGCTAAATTTTTCGGCCGGATTATATTAGAATATATCGAATTCTTTTTTTTTTTACAAGCTAATAGTATATAAAATATACACTATTATGGATACATTTCAAAATTTTCATCATTTCGGTAGGCGCATGCGTAATAAAATTATTTTTTTTTTAAATAGGAACACCTATTTTGAATACCATATTCAAATAGGCCTAATTTTTTAAAATAATTTTAATGAATCAACTATAGTTCTAAATTAAAAATTAACTGAATAAAAGCCATTTTAATTTTAATAAATAATACATTTTTACGATTCATTTAGGTACAAAAAACCATTTATAAATATTTATTTTTAGTTACTTTTTGAATATTTTTACGTATTTTTTTTTTTTAGGGACATTTTAAAACAATAGTTTACAAAGATCCACTAGTTAATCTAGCAGTTTTAAAAAGTAAAATTGTAGAAGCGTGTAATAGCCTTACTGAAAATCAAATAATGTCAACAACGAATAGAGGATGTCTATAACGTTTTCAATTATTATGCATCGAAAATAACGGAGCAAACCTTAAACAATGTATTTAATTAATTGTATAATTATAAAATAACTGTTGTAATCGATAATTAATAAATAAATTAATATCCATATTATGTTTATCTTATTTATTACTTGAATAAAAAAAAACAAAAAAAAAAAAAAACGTAAAAGTATTCAAAAAGTAACCAATAATTAATAATTATAAATAGTTTTATGTAGTATTTAAATAAATCGTAAAAATGTGGTATTTATTAAAATCGAAATGGCTCTTATTAAGTCAATTTCTAATTTAGAACCATACTTGATACATCAAAATTACCTTAAAAAATTAGGCTTATCCAATTATGTTATTTAAAATAGATGTAGCTATAAAAAAATAAATATTTTTTATTGCGCTTGTGCATACCAAAATGATAAAAATGTTGAAATGTATCAATAATAAAATTGTATATTTATATACCACTAACTTGCAAAAAAAAAATTCGATTCATTCCAATATAATCCATCCGAAAAATTCAGTGTTCCCTAAATTGATAAACACGCGGTACATCGTATACAACACCTGTTCCAATCGTAATTTGTGTTTGGCTGTTCCACTTCAAAATGTATAAATTTTTCACCTTTAGCTAAGCTCACGTTCTTATCTGGTGGACATTTAATGTAACATTCCATTTGATACATCTAACACGTTAGCATAATTATTGTAAGTTTCAATTATTATTTCACTATTATAGTATAATATAATATAATACGAACAGTCATCGGTGTCGTTTTGGGAACACATAATGGTTTTACACCAACCCAATTTCCATTACTGCAATAAAGCTTGGTATGTGAAGGGTTTTCGAACACATGTCCTTTGATACAATGGTAAATCGCTTCTAAATATTTGTTTTTTGGATCAACAGTATTTTTATTCCTATGAAAATATAATCGTCACTGTTACATAATAATCATATTATTTATAACATGGGCTTGGGGTTTCCCCCTTTAAAATAAAAAAGTAACAATAAAAATTGATTTATAAAATATTATATTTAATATTAAATTATAGACTGGTTCTATATTTCTTAAAGTTAATGAAGTGTCATAATAAATTTCAACTATTATATTAATACATCACGCATGGGAATTTGTATTCATAAAATGCCTGACGAAATAAAATACATTTTTTATAAAAAAAAATATAAATTATTATACATTTTTATTTAATACCTATACATTAAAACAAAAATAAATATTAATTAATAATATTTTTGATTCTAATTGCATTAATAATATAATACAGTTTTTAATTTTTACTTTTATAATAGGGTAGGTATAAAGTGTTAATATTATCTAGTAGCAAAATATCTTGAGCATAGGACAGTATACGTTAATATTGAAATAAACATTTATAGTGTGAATAACTTTTTAATTTCATCTTTTCGTGTTATGCAAATAATTAGATTAAAATTAAAACTAAATGTTGTGATAAGTTAAATTAAAAAAATTAAAGAAAAACATAATTTACAAGCATTATAAGCTTATATATTATGATTATTCATTCCTATACAAAATAACTGTGTATTTTTTATTAAAATTAAATATGTTGAAACATTAACATAATTAAAATAGCAGGCAATTTAAACAACGTGTAATAAATACTGGGTGTCTAGGTATTAAAAAGTACTATAACCATTTGTCAAAATTGTATTAAAATATGTCAACGAAAATATTGAAATGAAAAAACAAACCCAATAGTAATATGAATTAAAATTAAATTTACAAAGTCCTAAAATATAATTATTTCACTTGTCAAATATATAATCATAAAAAAAAGCGTATCAAAAAATATTCATACTTTGTAAGTAATATAAAAAATTTTAACCTAATATTACCGGCTATCATAATTAATAACAAATAATAGTTATAGATAAATAAATACATAATCATATACCTACTATGCAATTAATTATAAAACTCTCTTAACATTATAATACAAAACATAATATACAATATATTTCATATAATTTATACCTAAGTAAAATGCGTCTTAATTTTATAAAAATTATGATCCTTACTTGGAATATTTTACCACACGTGCATATGGTAACTTAGGTGCCTTCAAAAAAATTTTTCCGTGTCGTTTTCTAAACAAACAGCTTAAATCGTAATCTCCTACTGAATATTCTCTAGCCGAGTCTCTAATCATATGTTTCGGAAGTTGAAATGTACCATGTCCTATTAAATAGATATAACCGAGAATAATAAAAAATATTAACAAATTATTAATACTATTTTTTACAATAATTGAGTAGTATATAAAATTTTACCTGATGTCTGTTGATGTGTTTCAGGTGTTTCAATATCTACAGATTTTTTTTCCAACTTCTTCTCGTTGTTTTGAATGTTCCTTTTTGTGTCGAGTTTTAATATACGTCTAAAATATTTAAATATTATGATTTAATCCAAATCTTATGAATATTTAACAAAAACCATAATGCAGCTGATAAAATTGATATTCATTCATAACATGAAATAATGTCTTATAAATTTATGACTATGCAGTAACATAGTATAGGTATAAGTTCCTACCTGAATGAAAACCAACCTTGTGCCGAATTGATAATATTATTGTTGTTGTGACCTGCAGCATATATAAAAAGGGTAAGTATGATAATATTGTATAAATATAAAGTTGTTATTCAAATAGGAATATAGGTATATATTAGATACATGTTGACAAATATTTTAGATGTTATGTTCCCTGCTGATTTTTTTTTTTTATCAATGTAATCTAATATTAACGTTTTATTGATACACATAATAATAATAACAAACAATAATAATAAAGTACATCTACTTACTGAAACTAGTAGGCCGTGTACACGACGGCACATGTCCGGACCATTCTCCTTCTATACACGTGTGCTTTGTTTGACCTGTCAGAACGTACCCAGCATCGCATTGGTACACCTCCACAGCCCTTCTCCAATTTTTGGATGCCGTAAACATTACTTGCCCACTATCTGGTCCTGGTCGGGGTTCACAATCCAACGGTCCGGAAGAAATAAATGTAATGGCTATAACATTAAGTTTTAAAAAAATCAAATAAGTCACACCTACACAATATCTACAGCTATAATACATTTCATAATGATTCTTTATGCAATAATGCAATAATGTAATATCGTTAGAGTATTTTCAAAGCAATACTATAAACACCCCATATGTAATTATTTAATAAATTTATTGTTTTTTTTTTTTATATATATAATAAAAACAAAGAAAAAATATTATATTTGAATCATAACATTTTTTATTGAATATAGTTAAATGAAAAAATAATTGCATAATACATAGAAAATGTTATCATGTAAGGAAATTTTGTTGTACAGAGGTAATTTTTTTTAAATAAAGGCGGCAAATTTTTAAATCCACCCCTGTATATAGCTCCGTCATTATACCCCTATCTCTCTATGTTATTAAGGACATTATGTTAATATATGATTTAAACTAGAGATGTAAGTTTGGTAAATTTTTACCACGTAAATTTACCAATTATTTTTTTACAGGTAAATATTATTTTACAGAAAAAATTAACATGTGTCACCTTAAATTAAACGTTTTAACGAGATGAATATTCTTAACATATCAATGGAATGAAAAAGTTTTTAATTTAAATTATATAACTCAAAACGTCAAACCTTCGACATGCCCATATTTAGCACGGTTGTAGACATAATATTATTATATTATAATATTTATTTACAACTGTGCTAATAAATTTGATTTTATTGACATCGCGATTTATGGACTATGACAGTATCATGATTCATGGCTATAGATACTATTATTAACTTTTACTATTTAAAACTTATCAATTTTACGTTTGCTTAATAGTTTAATTTTTATTTAATTTGTGTCATTAAAAAAGTTAAAACGAGACCGCGAGAAATTAAAAATAAATATTTTATAGAAGTTGAAAATAAGCATTGCAATAGTTATAAGTTCATGAAAAAGTGGAGGTGAAGAGTTTTTAAGGGTTTTCCTATGGTGATATACAAAAATTATCAAAATTTATCAAATTTACAGAATTTGCAAGTATTAATAAACTATTTAGTAATAAATATAATATAATTATAGTATCTATTTTGAATTATATAATTAATTCAATATTTTAATTTCCTCCTACATAGTGAAATGTATATATGTCATAGTACCGTCATTACTTTCTCAACACAATATAGAAGAATTTCGTAAGTATTCACCAATTAATTTTAAAAATATTGGAAATTATTTAAAAAATACTAACTAAATTTTATAAAAATATAAACTCACTTACCGTTTTAAATCAAAAATTTAATTTAAACCACGTGTTAAGCAACAAAAACAAACTAACATATATAATTATAAAACAAAGTTCAACATTATGAGTAACGTTAATAATGAAAACACATATTCGATGTTTTCTTCAATATTAACAACAATATTATCGATTTTTTTTATTTAGAATATAAATCTGTGAAATGTGCACGTTGGTGTAATATCATTATATTAATAATATAATTCGAAACTGAACAACCGTGTACTCCTTTCGCATGCCATTTAATAGTTACGCAGCAGAGTGTAATGCAATAGGATGTTGTTGTACGGATTCACAATTTTCAACGATGAACGAAGAATATAAAATCATACGCATCATAAGATTAGAATTATTTTTTTAATATATTATATATAATATCATTAATATTTTACCTAGCGTGTGGGTGTATTTGTGGGTGTTACGATGGACCATGTTATTAATTATTTAATTCAACTACTGATTATGTTTATTTTTTATATTTTTAAATATTAATTAACTTTTACTACGTGTTACCAAAAAATGTTAACCAATTTTTATGTGTTTGTTTGAATGCCTGTATTTTGTTATGTTAATTTACATTTTTTTTAGTGCTGCCTGATATTTTTTTATAAGCACATAATCTTGACTCATCAATAGATGCAAATGTTATAATTTACAGAGAATGTTAAAGTAATTTTTATCTTCTATGAAAATTATTAAAATGCTTATAGTACACTATTACAGTTAATACCCAATATAACAGCATTATTATAAATGTATAACATATTTTATTAACTGAAGTCCTATTTTTTATTATGATCTATTAACTTTCGTATGTAATTATAAGATACTTTATTAGGTGATTTTTGTTTTATTAAACTTGCCTTAAAAAATAAAATCTTCAAATTTTTATGAATTAACAAAAAAAAAAAATCTTAATATTTACATGGTTTTAAATAATTTTCCTTAATTGTTCGGTTTTTACAAGAATGTTGAACAGCTTTAAAATATACTATTATAAATAGTTATTATATTCAAAAACAAATAATAAGGTTTTTGTTTTAAATGTAGTAAATACAATAAATTGAGACAAGGTAAATAACTACACAAATTTCAAATAATATATAAGTAAATTGAATATAAATATATATTTTTTTAAGGCTATTAACTATAACTATAAATAGAAATTTATTATATATACATATATTATATAGATAGATAGTATTACACTTTCCAAACTTTGATAATTTGAATCATAAGCTCTTCTCAAATGTATACTTAGTGACTAGTAAATAATGTAATTATATAATTTATATTATTAAATAATTGTAATCGTGTATATAAATTGCCTTAAGTTGTATGGTGATATGTGTTAATTAATTTAAATAATACATTTTAATATGTTTGACAGTGGCCAAAAACTTTTATTTTCCATAATCTTTCTTCACCCTGTATTATTATTTTAATTTACAAATCAAAATAATTTTATTTTAATACTCCTCAAACCAACTTAACTGATCAGCTTAATCAATACCTAATGCATCGTTAATCAGAAATCAAACTAGATTCTTTTTTTCATAAAAATAACTAACATAAGATTTTAAATACCATATAATTTTACCTGTGTTTGCTAATATGATAAATTCGATGACAATTCTAGTAAGTTCCATATTTATACACCACTATGAGAAGTTACCACGTGAAAAACAAAATCAAACAACTAGTATAAGTATGACTGATACGCATGATACCTCTCTACGTAAAACCACAAAGAGCCCGTCTGTCGGGATTTAATATCATTTCCATTCCACCATCCCCACCCTTAGGTTTCCGATATATAAAACATACCAACCAGATGTACATGCCATTTATTTTAAATAAAATAGTCTTTATATAAAAATCAAAAAATAACAGTCCAGTTAATAATAGTGTAACTAGTATAACTTAAAAATAAAAAATAAATTAGAAGTAAACAAAATATATAGGTAGGTAAATGTAAGTAAAAATATCGAAGATATTTATTAACAATAATATTATACTACAGTCAATTGATAAACTAAGTAACGTAAAAAATAAAACACATTAATTTAATTTTAAAAAAATACAAACATACACGCTTACAATATTTATTTTATCTTGTAAAACATAATAATAACATTAGTCAATAAGTAATATACATAAGTTTTCTTGTTCTGTACAATTTTTACTTCATTTTTTTTTTTTTTTTACTACTCACTTCTATAAGTATTTGTTACAAAAAGTTAACTAAGATATTAATATAATAGACCATTATCTATGAATAAATCTCTTAAGTTATTATTTTCAAAATGTAATTTCATATAATTTGAATAATTAATATGAAAAAATAATACTTCATTCAGCTGCATAGAAAAACAAATACAATTGATTGAATCTGGATAAATAATAAATAAAAAATCTAATTAAGTTTTACTTTAAAATATTCTAATATAACGAAAAAAACTATTTTCTCTTAAAAACACTAAATAATAAATGTTAGTACCAACAAATGGCACACGAACTGTCATTGATCTAATCAATAATTTCTGATGATATAACATTTTATAAAAGAGCTAGTTATTTCATTATTTAATAGTCATTATAAAATTTAAAAATTTTAAATACTTTAAGTTATTTACTTAAGTTCTTATTAAATAAACTTAAAGCCTAAAACCACTTTTGTAAACTTTTTTAAATCGCAGTTTAAATATTTTTAATTTTCAAGCAAATTAATTAATACATATAATATGTATCGTTTTTATAATTATTCTTTTTTTTTCTTCGCTTTTCTCTCACAAATATGTAAAAGATCAGCCATCCTAATGCACCTTCACAGAGTCTAACCCCAATATTTCCTTTATTTACGCTACTTATTTTTATGTTATACTTTATTCTATCTATCCTTCTTTGGCCTTACTCTCTCTCTCTCTCTCTCTCTCTCTCACTATTTCTATAGTTATTTACTAACTCTCCTAAAGCCAGGCTCATGTACATAACTAGTGTAGTGGCTACCACACTTGTCCGGCAGGTACCCGTGCACCATTGTTCCCCTGATCATCCACTTCACCAACTATGTCATTAATTATTACATATCACCACGAACATTCGATATAGGTCAAACCACCTATAGGCATTTTCTGTTTTTTTCTTATTATTTTTAACATCTTATATACTCTTATTGACATACTTTACACCGGATATCATCCTAACATAATTTCATTTTAGTTGACTTACGACAGGCATGAGCAGTAAGAAAATTCTTAATTCTTCAGGGAAAAATATAAAAATGTTATACATTTCTTGATTATAGGACAAGTTTTTTTTTTTTTTTTTTTTTGTTATTATAAAGAATATTTACAATTTATATTATGGTGTATAATTAGTAAATTAGAAAAAAAAAATTTTAAAAAATAGGACGAGTTGACAAAAAAAATTAAATTTATTAATACTATATTATCTAAGCTCTGAAGAAAAATGAAATTATGAACAATAATATATTTCATATTTAATACAAAATTTTAAATTAATATTAATAATTTGTTAATATTCTTTAATTTTCAATATTGTATTTATTGTCTTAAATAAGACATTTATCTTAGTAAGTGTTTTAATTAATTTTACATTCTAATTAATCAATAGCAAAACCATTGAAAAATAATTAAGCACTATTGTTGTTAATAATTATAAACAGTGTTAATCGTTACCATTATTATACGCATTACGGTAAAGGCCATGGTAATCCTGAAAAATCAACAGGCCCACCGAGTCCGGCGTCGGCTTCCAAGAAGCTCATAATGACAGCCATAGCGGCCTCGTCGTTAGTTCCCAAATTAGACAACTGTTGTGGGGATGGTGTCATTATTTCACCGAGTATGTTACCCGAGTCACCTGAATTCAAAAGTATTTGGATTACACAAAATTCGAAAGTGGAGTGTGGTTGAAATTTGCATACTATTGGTATTAGTCGAGTTCAACAGGTTCACGCTCTCCTGAATCACGGTAAACGACGAAACTGTATCGCCACTGCCGCCGTCGCCACCATTACTCGACAACGTACCAGGTTCGTTGAGCATCGCCAGCGGTGAATTCATAAACGGTAAACGATCATTCTTGGACTCCTAGAAACAGTGAACATAGTAAGTTACATATACAATGTACTTAACAATAATACAAATCTTATAATTATTAATGAAAAAACCTACCACATACCACGTCTAACTATTTATACGAATGTTTGTTATTTCCTAAATTTTATTTCTTCAGAAATTTCAAAAATCTAAAATATGCGAAAACATAAAATCCAACCTAATCCAAATAATACATTTACTGTTACTGGTAATACGATTTAAACGCCAAATATTGAAATACACAGATAACATGGGTATTTCCGAGTATTTTAGAAATAAAAATAAAAATGTAAATTTATGAATATTGAGAATATTTTTTTTTTGTTTTTATAACAGTTAGTAATAGTATTAATTCATGCGTAATAGAAATATTTTTAAATAATGTTAAATTATTTTATGTATAACCAAACCTTTTCATATTATAATATTTTATTATCTATATGGGTAGTTTTATTATAAACAGAAAATTAGGAATAGAGATCACGAAATAGTTAATATTTTTTATTATATTTTGTTAATCATTTAAACCAATGAAATTAGAATGACTCATTTGAATTTTTCATTTCATTAATAACTATTTGATTTATCGTAATCAAATAAATTTTGATTTTGATTAAATTTTGAAAATTCATTTCAATTGAATATTTAAATCTTATTTATTCGTTTATTTATTTAAAATTAAAACATATAAAATATCAAACTAAAATATTTTATTTATTATATATATATATACATATATTCTATTTATAAATCATTATTCTTACAATTTCTTAATTTTGTTAGCAGTATAATGTAAATGAATGATACCCGCTATAAAGATTGACATAATGAGAATTAAATAGCCACACGGATTTGATATTGTAACTGTTGAAGGTAAGTGAAATTATATCGTATTAAATGTTTAATGTTATTATATTAAATCATTTTATGTAATAAAAAAAAAAAAAAAATGTTGGTTACAATCAAATCAGTCTAGCGTAATTTTACTAACCAAAAACGTCATATTTCAAATTCTAGCCCTACCACTAGATTTTTCTGCATCGTAATTTTTGTTATAAAAAGTTATGTAATACTTTTAAGTGTCGATAAATACTAACTACTTCTTCTATTGTGTCCTGTTGAGTTTGTGGAGGAGAACTGTCGGTTTCACAAACTGTCTTCTTTACATCCAAAGCAGTATCGACAATATGCATACCGATTTTGTTTGCTTCTATATGTGAAGTAATCAAATTTTGTATTTCTCTATTACCCAACTGCTGTTGGCTTTTAGACAATTGTTGTTCAGTATAACTATCATAATAGTTTTGCGATGGGCCCTGTGAAGAACACTCTGATTTGTTACTACTATCAGATTTGTAATCTGACCTAAAAATAAAAAATAAACGTTAAATTTAAAATCAATATTTAATTAATACTAACAGTACCTAGTTAAAATGTTATTTGCAACAATAAATTCGATATCTTTAGTCCAAGGATTTCGAAAACTTTTCCATTCACTTCGTAAGTTTACAAATGTTTTATCTTTAGCCCGAAATTTATATATCTGTAGTAAATAAACAAATATAGTTTTTATTTTTGAAATAAATAATTTTTACATACATTTACCTCTGTGTCTTTTGGCGTACATTCTTGAAGTGTTGCTTTGTGGATATCTACAAGTCTAGCAATATCATCTTGATGAAAGTATTCGTACATGCTAGTACCTAATAATTCTTGAGGTAAAAACCCAACTATATATGTAACCCTGTAATAGAAACGACTGCTTAAACATACAAATATTAACTATAATTAATTATTCACGGTCTACCTTTGATCCACAGACAAAAATTTTCCATCAATTGTGTGTTTTGAAGTGAAACATGGAGGTTTCACTATGTCCGATAAAAGTGAAGAAGAAGCCAAATTATTAATAATTCTACCAACAGCTACTAAACACGATGTATTGTTCGCAGATCCCGAATCCGCTCGAACGCCATTACCATCATTATCTTCTTCTAATCCCAAACTCTTCCCAGATACATCCTCACATTCGTTTATCTGCGTCCAAGGTTTTAAATAACCGGTACACTGGATTACACTATATCGTCTATCTAATGTCATAAATAAACGTTTTTATTAAAAGTATATTATTATTATGTCATTCAAAAACAGATAAATAGGGAGAGGTACAGTAATCAAATCAATTGTTTGTAAATTATTTTTTATTTTTATTTTTAATAGCTAATAAACAATAAAGTAGTTTGAAAGTGAATAAAAAAGTATTTAATATTTTTTCAATAAATGTTAATATAATAATATATTAATATAACTTAAATATAATCGAAAACAATCATCTCATTTTGGTTGAACTATTTCATTTGCTATAAAGTTCAATAAATATGTGTTATTTAATTATTAATTTAAACTAAATGGTACTAATCTTTATATTATCTAGACTTATTAGTTATTACTATTATTTTACTTACTATTAAATACACAATTATAAAATATATAATGTATATTATATATATATACCTGATTGAGTGTACTTTGATCCAGTAGTCGTGTCTGTTTCTTCTTTTATATCATACGCTTTACACTTCATTCGACAAAAGAATGATCTCCTAGCTCCACTACACATTTTTGACAATGTATTCATCATTTCAGCACGCACCGGTAACATTGCTGTTGGAAAAAGAATTATCTCCTGTTATACGTATTATCTATATAATATTTATATTAACTTCAAATAAAACAACAGAATTCAAACTTACTACTTGCGTTAATATATTTATCTCTAGGGCCAAAGTCTGAACAGGATAGTTGTTCCTTTACTTTAGCTACATCTTTCGGATGAATATAGTCGAAAACATTATTTCCGACCAAATCCTCCTTTATTTATATTAAATAACAGTTAAGATTATTAGACATTTTTAATTTTTTTTTTTATTTTTTTTATATTTAAATTTGTATACTTACTGGTATATAATTTAAAACTTGATTCACAGATTTAGATATATATAGTATCTTTCCATGATCACAACTTACAGCGAGAACAAAACCTTCAGCAGCCTGAAAAATATTGATACCTATTGAAATATTTTAACTTAAGCATTGTATTAAAAGCTTTAATATGTAGTTTGCCCTTGTTATACAACTTAAATATATCTAAAATTTAGTTTATAAATACGTTCACAGCTATAGACTTACAATAAAACTATATAAATATAATGAAAAATCATTATCGCTAATATTTAAATATATATATATTCTATGTTTAAAAAAAATAATTATTTGGAAATATTGGTAAAACTATTAATATTATTATTTATATAGTTTTAATTTTTACACGTAACTATGTACATTCTAACTAAATGTTAGTTACTAGTTTAATACATAAGTATAATAGGTAAGTATATGCCAAGAATTTATACATATTTATTTATATCACATCAATGTAATCTGTATATGAGTACAATTTTATAACAGTAATAACTAATTTATATCTTAGAATACCTATAAAAAAAAAATATAATATTTTAAACGTAATTTATAATAATACATACTAATTATAGTTAGGTTAGATAGAAGAACTTCTAGTAATTTTTAAATTGATTATGTACTTAAAGAGAGCTGAATATACAATATAAGTATCTTCTACCTAATAGTAAACTCACTTGTGTGATTAAATTTTTCAAATCTTGATCAGATAAAAATGAAGGCTTATAATGACCTTCAGTATATGAATTAACCGTACTTCGAATTGTTTTCATATGTTGCACAGCCATCCTGAGCACAGACAGTTTATCTAACTTTCGTGGCATAGTATGACACATTGGTATCATACTAGCTAATTCAGTAATATACGAGTTCATCTTATCTCTTCTGCGTTTCTCGATTTCACTGTGATTATGTCTACAATAAAGCAAATTAGCTGTTAATGTATAAATTATTATAAAAAACATTAGTGAAATAAACACACATTATATATATATTTTTTTTTTATTTAAAGTTTGTAGAACTTATAAAACAATAAAAAAAAATTAAAAAATGTGATCACTAAAAAAATTAAAACATTAACAAAATATACTAAAAGATAAAAGAATTGTTTATGTTGAAATATGAAAATACTTATGCAAAATAACGTTGTAAAAATAGTTTGATTGGTGATCTTTAAATTTAAAAATAAGAATGAATTTAAATTTTCTTAAAATAATTTTGAACAAGTTCAAGTTTCCCGTTTTTTTAAACACTTATAAAAAATGTAAAAATACCAATTACTCAATTAAATTTTTAAATGAAAGAATGCTTTATGAAAGTTTTTAAAGTATTTGACTGAGTTAACCAAAACATTAAAACAAAAATTAAAAGCACATATTGTTTTAAATCAAATATACTACTTGATACTTATCTAAAGTATAATTTATCTAAAATTATGAAAAAAAAAGTTCAAGACATAATATTTTAAAATGAAAATTACACATTACTTTTTGTTATTGTCATTTCGAATAGACCTGGAATCATCATTGTTGTCATCGTCAAAATCGCTACCACTATAAAAATAATAATAAAAAAAAAAAAAAAAACAAATAATTAACTTCGTATTAATATTTAAAAAAATAAATAAATAAAAAAAAATTATTTTACTAATTCTATTTGTGAGTAATTTATTAGTACTTTATTTACGTTACATTTGTGATATATAGAAAAATATAACCAATATACTAATTATGTTCCAACAACTAAAATGTTTGTTTAAATTATTCTTCTTACTTTTTTCAAATATTTTGTATACTTAGATGAACATTAATAATCACTAAATCTAATTCCCATAGGTACTCAATAAAATAAATCTTTTGTTATTTATATTAATTACATAATAACAAAAATATGTTTATTTTATTAATGATTTTAGATTATTTCAAATACATATAATCATTCATCAAAATATTCGATATATTTGGTATAATTTCCAATTTATAGAACAATATTAATTAAAATTGTGTTATTTTAGCTTAAATCAATAAATTATAAGATAATATTAAAATTATAAGTCTATTATACGCATTATTCAATTTTTGGATTATCTTATTTTAATTTATCTAAATATAGTAAATTGATGAGCAACATATATTGTAATTTATAACTAAATTAAAAGTTAATACTTAGTATTAACTCTATCATAGTATGATTTAGTTATTGATTATTGATGATATTAATTTTAAAACGTTAATTTATTTACAAATTAATAACAATAATTAACAAATCAATAATTTATGTATCTCTAACCACTGTAAATTAATATCAATAATCCATTTCTTACGTAAACATTGAAACTATGCAATTACTTGTATTTGTAATTTATATATATTTTTTTATTTTACAATTGTTTTATAAAATTAATACATCTGACACAAATAGTATTAATGTAACACATATACATAATTTTTAAATTCATGTTTAATTCAAACACAGTTAGAAGAAAAAATAATAAGATAAAACTAATACAATCAATCGTTCAAAATTGTAAGCTAATGAAATTTTTAACAATTTGGAATTTTCCCAAAACAATTCATGAAATATTGTATAATTAAAAAATAATGGATTAGCTTAAATTTAAAATTACATTAAAACTTACCTTCTTTAATACTTTAAATATAATTAATATAAATATTATTTTGTCTTTTATTATGGTGAATATATAAATGCATTATCAGTACTTACTGTGCGGATCCTTTCCTTTTGCTTTTGAAATTTTCATCTCCACTCAAATCCATACTTAAGTCTGCTGTCGACGAAGCCATTCGAGAACTATTTTGCATGTTATATGAACTTCTAAAAAAGTTGTATTATTTTTCTTCTTAAATTATTTACAAAATATTTATTTTTTGGGGGAGGGGGATATTTAACTACTTACTCCTTAATAGCTTCAGATACAGGCTGTAAATCATAATAAATAAGTTGTTCCATGGGACTGTCATGACTCAAGTTATCAAAGTTTATTAAATCACTATGGTCGTGTAACAGATTATTACAATAAGAAGCAAAATCCGAATTTCTAGCCATTTTTTGACTAGTTAAATTTTGTTATAAACTAAGCTTTCACGAAATAAATGCAACGTACAACTAACACTTGTAAGTATCAGATCCAATAGTCCTAAAGAATCTCTTCTGCGAGATATACTAGGGGGTGGTTTTGTGCGACGTGATCGAGCCTTACCATTGGCCGAAACAACAAGTGTTTACGTAATTTGTCAGCACGATTACAATTGTACATGTACATATATATATATATCCAAAACCAATAAAAATAATATATTAGGAATCATTTGAATAATATTCTAGATTAGAATCTATATGATGCATTAAAACAGTCGCTTTATATTGTAAGGTCTATAATATGGCATGTTACCATGATTATGATAAATTTATAAATAATTATTATTATATATTAAATTACCTAATATTTTATTTAAAAAAAAATTGAATTTCTTAAAATTCCTATTGTTAATCATCATGAATATAACTTTACCGACAAGCTTTTTTATAACTGTATGCGTACATAAATAACGTGTTATCAAACTTTTGAATTTTGGATGGGTTAACTCATATATTTTATAAATAAAATGTTCTATAATTTTTGTAAAAAAATTATTAGTATGCATTGTTTATAAATACATATTTTTACTAAGATTTGGTTTCATAAAAATAATATGTATAGATTGATATATGTATTAAATATAATATATTTATATTTAATATTAGAAACTTCCGAATTGTTCTTTACAAAAATAAAATGCTTGAATAAAACTATATTTTTTGTTTTCAAACTAGCTATACGAGGATGTCATATTACATAATTCAATATTATATTTATGTTTAAATAATTGATCATACCGTGAATAATGTCTTTTTCTCGGCTTCATTTTGGATCCTTTTCTGAAATATTATACAAAATTAATATTATTTGTTTGTGATTATTTTGTGTAAAATGTAAATAATACTTGAAATTGAGGTAACACCTTTATAAGTTTTTGTAAAATTCGAGTATAAAATCTGTTTTTAACTTGCCCTAGAGGAAATTAATAATGTCCACCCTTTTTGTCGGAACCAGAGATTGCTGCCCTTCTATTGTTACGCGCACCGAGGGAAAAATATAAAACCTAAACAATATACGCCACTGATATTATATTTGTTTTTTAAATATTCAGATGTATTGGATATCTACTTAACCAAATAATTAGACTGTACAGCAGGGGGTATATAGGTAACTGTCAAATGCATCCTAATAATTTATTTTTTTACATACAATTACTAAAAACATAGAACTATACCTATTTAATAAGTTATCGACGATAAATATTCTCTATACATATAATTATATAGATATTTACACTCGAGTAGAATACATACAATAAAAAAATGACTTTTCGTAAATAATAATATGTTGAATTAAATAAAACAGGACATTTAAAACTAAGTATTAAGTTGAACAAGGAAATATTCCTTCACTAATCACTAATAAAAATTGTATTACTATATCATATACATTACTATTTTTAGAGGAATAAGAACAGATAAAAAGATAAAATGAGGAATTAAAAATAAAATTAAAACTGAAGTATACTTACTAAATGTAAATATACTTTATTAATCATAAAAAATTCGAACTATTCATAATTTATTACTTTTTACGAAATTCATTTTAATCTCGGTAATTAATTGTTATTATACTATTAATCTTTATAAACTACTTTGTAACTATTACAATTTACAATATTATATTTTAGTGCCTATATTATTAATATTATATTTCTTTAGAACCTGTTATAATCATCAATAAATGCTTACATTACTCCAAATACTCCACTGCACTCACCTGTCTAAAGTTTAAAATTTGAATAGTTATTCGAATACTTAATAGAAAGACTTGTATATGCCTATGTGAAACGCAATATCTTACAAATAGAAATTGACATAAGTTATTATCTAGATATATTTTAAATACAGGATACGTGTACATAACATAATAATCATTCAAAATTAAAACAAATGGGATTCAGAGATATATAATAATTGGTTGAAAATCGTTTGAAATTTTTGATAGAATATAGTATATGTTTAGAGTGTTTAGACATAATAATATATCATAAATTGAATACATCTATTAATACGTCAGGATGATAACAGAAAATAATAATATTATGTAACCAATAACCAGGCCTGGATTGGTCCTGTGAACTACCGGGAAAATATAAGTGGGCTGTATAAAAAAATAATTATGTAATGATAATATGTATTATAACTACATTATGTAAGTAACTATATATAAATACAACTATATGACAATTGAAACGGAATAAGTTCACTCGCATATACTCAAACGAAAACTGAGAGAGGAACATACAGTTTATAAATAGTTAGGTTAGGTTTATTTAAATTTTTAATGAGTTTTACCGAGACTAATCCATTTTCTAAATTTGGTAAAAAATAAATTATATATTATCAAAATGATTGGTGAAAAAAGTTAGATCATAATGATCATATTATTATATAAATCATGTGTTAACATACATTTTAATTTAATCGATGTATCTATTATTGAGATATTTGACTTCTTTTTTTATAATTGAGCCATTAAGTAACATTTTTGGGTTAGAATAACATCACTTATTCGTTTCTGTTTACAAAATCTTATTATAACATCATATTACAGCCGCATAAGCTGTACGTATACACAAAAACATAATTCTAGAAGCGAGAATATTTTCAAATTAATTAAAAAATTATTTTACATGAGTTTAAATAACCGTATCAAGAAAAAAAAAATTTTTAACATTTCTAGGGAAGTTTACCACCCCACCCCCATATGTGTAATAAGACAAAATCTTCCGGTTACTTTACGCGTGGTTATCCAGTGAATACTTTTAAGTTCAATATTTTTTCTCTCTAATGATAGTGTATTTAACATAAATATTCAAGAAAAACAACATTGTTTATCTCGGATTATATAACACTAAGTTTAAAAATAATTATCTTTCCCATTTTTGCTAAAAAAAATTAATCAAAACTAAAAAACATAAATATGTAAACTTTGAAGGTTCCTAATGGTAAATTTTGAAAGAAGCCCAATGTTAATCGTTTGTAAGTAATACTCATTTATAGGCATTGTTTTGTTTGAACCTATGTGAGTTCGGCCCAATCCCTAAATAACGTACGAGTTGCAGCCCGGGTTTATAAGAGGTACGTACAAATTGCGGCCATACATTAGTATATATATATTACATGTTTTACATGTATATACTATATTATATACTCACTACAAAATCAAATTATAAGTTTAATAAAAACATGTAAATATATATTTAGTCACGAGACTCCTGCGACTTGAGCTCGAGTACGATCGCACAGCATAAGAAACCGTTAAAAAATATTATGGTTTTAACGCATTCGTACGCGTGACATAAATAACAATAAACCGAGTCTGTGGCAAAAATGTGAAGACGGACTTGTTCACAAGTAAAGGTCGCATGGGTAACTATCTCTACGTCTACTTCTATAAATCTGAGATATCACCAAGTATCGCTCCGTCGTGACCGTAGACCCTATAGCAAGCCAAAAAGGGTAAACGAACTTCGGCTAATCTTTTTGGACTTAAGCGATAGACGAATATCTCACTGTAGCGGCCCATTGTAAACTTATAAAAACAAAGATTAATTTTGGACTGAATACGCATTGACAATTTTTATTTTTCCATTTGAAATTATCTGATTATCATAGTTAATGCAAGTCATACGGCAGATAATATATAATGAAATGATATATATAATCTTTGTCATATTATATAAAAATATAACTTTCCATACGTATCAAACATTTCATTTACCACTATGTATATCCAACATAGGTAATGATAATTACTCGGGCCGCAACTCACCTGCAGCTAAAATATTGTCGGGCCGCAACTAACCTATCCCTAAAATATTATCGAGCCGCATTTTACTGGTCTCCAACATCGGAAACGACATTTTGGGCCGCAACTCACCTACAGCCGTTTAAAAAATCACTCAAATGAGTGTTTGGTGTATAGCTCAGCGCTATTTCAGAATTTGTTTATATATTGAAATTAGTAACCTCCTATTATCTGGATGTAATTATTTTTATTTATTTCTATTAAAATTAAAATATTATTTACAAAAAAAATGTGCTTATTATTTGGTTCCTACATTATATTTTCTGTGGAAACGAGTCCCCGTAACATATAAACACGTTCGCGCGCGCGTGTGTGTGTATTATGTAAATATATTAGCATACTCGTAGTCTGGCTGAAACAGGTAAAGCTTATATTACATACAACAGAGAACTTTTTAATGTCTAAATAACCATCTCATCTCAGACGTATTAATAATAATATAACCTAAGCCCTATACCACACTCAATTTTAGAAAGGAACACGTTGCTTTTCATATAATATAGGAACGACGAACGGGAAAGTGTTCTTATTTTATACAGAACGTGAAATCAAATTTGCGTTCTTCATATTATGAACAAAAAAATAAAACTAATATTATTTTTAAAGATTATATTGTCTAAAAATTATTTAGTGTTGGTATCAGAATTACTTCATCAATTATTAATAAATGACTAATGTAATATGCTATATAGAAAATAATGTTCATATGATATTAGCTAATTAATAATTATTATTAAATAATAAAATTATTCTAAGCAAATTTCAAATAACTATATCAGCTTCAATCATTAGAGAAAATTGTTTTACCATAATTTTGAATATTTCTACCCTATCAAAAATTGACAATAAAAGTATTCAATAAAAATTTCAGGTCTCTACACTTAACATTTTTTTGAATTTTAAAAAATAAGTCAAATAAATGTTAATAAAAAATTGGGCTCTTATTCTCTTAAAAATGTATTTATAACAAGTATCAAACCTATAATTTAGTCATTACTATACTATGACTAAACATAAAAATTCACGTACAGATATATAAAAAAAAAATATTTTAACATTTTTTTTTTTTTTTTTTAATAAATACAATCTGTGAACAAAAAGTAAACTTCTCAGCGAAAAATATATATATACAAGGCATGAATAACATAAAAGAAAAATTCTATTGACATCACTTCAAAGTTTACCTGATAAGATTTTATTGTCTTAATATTTTTTAAATATTAAGTGTTGAAATTATGATCTATTATGTTTTTTATGATTTAATAATGTTTAAAAATTGAAATAACTGGTTTATTTTTAAGAATCAAGTCATGGCTATTAAAGTGATTTAATATTTCTTAATATTTTTTTAAGGAAATTATATTCGATTGCAATTTTGATTTATTATTTTGGTTTCGTATAAATAATGAACAATTTAAAGAGTTCTAAAGACTTTGACGAGTTAATCCCGTTTCCAATACCTCCCTCAAATCCCCTTCATCGCTTCACTTATTCTTACCATAAATCTATGTATGCGTATGCTAATAAATCTAGTATCATTCTTCAAGTATAATAATTTATATTGAAGTGTATAACTAATAACTGTACTAGTTACTTGTAGTATTACAGTTCATAGTTGTGAATATAAAAAAATATTTTTGAATGTGATTTTTTTTTTGCAATTGGCGGTAAATTATTAAGAGGTGATAATGAATATTGTAAGTTAAAAACTGTTTCCCCTCCTTAATAGTTAGCGGTAACTTGTAATAGATATTGAATTCAAACACGAATATGATATTATTTATGACTACTCGTCAATAATCTCTACGAACCTACGTTTATAATTGTGCGTATATTAAATTCGAATAAATTATGCGCTACTCACCAATTTATAATTATATAAATATATAATAAATATACATCAACAATAATAAGTATAATATGTTCGTTATCGTCTTCTGTGTCAAAATGTCGAGCAACGCGAGTAAAACGTCGGTGGAGCGGCAAAAGTCGGAAATTGTATTATGTTTAATTTTTTTTTGTCTTAGATCAAAACATAATAGGTAAATAATCGTATTCTACAAATCCTAATAAACGGTAAATAATCACGTTTCATCCGGCGAGGCGAACTTATTTTAAATTATAATAATATTATCGTTTTCGTGAGGCGTACACTCAATCGGTCTATATACACGCAATATTACACACACTCGAATATTGTGTGCGACGACGAGAAAGGTCTTCTCCTCACTCTCGTTCACTTATCTAAATCATTTTTAGTCCGCGCGCCATGTACCGCCGTCGTCGACTCGCTCATCACAATAACACAATAATATAATATTATATTATTAATGCGTTTATATTATACATATATATATATATGTATATGTATACAAGTACTGTTATCGGAGAGTTATACCACCGAACAGCCTTATCGAGTTCCTTCAAATTCGTGTTTTTATTGTGCATACATATTATATTAATATACATTCTAAGATGTGTAAAACAAATAATAATAACAGGCGAGAGTTTGTAATAGCTTATAATAAACAACTTGATAATTTTCCTGCTTTAACGGCATATAGATAACAACGAAATGACTTATAATAACATCATAATTAGATACGATACGTCTATATTATAATTATAAATATATATATATATAGGTATTTTTATACATTATTATCACCTAGATATATTTTTTTTTTACATATTTTAAGAGTTTCGAAGTGCCTTTATTCAAGAATATGCTAAAGCCTTTAAATACCTACAACTCTAATACTTATTGTAAAAATATTTTATAGATTATGTAACAAAAAAATGAATGTTAAAAAACATATTTAAAAAAAATTAGGAATACCTACACAATATGTAAAATTATTATTTTTACAATAAAAATATGTAATGCAGAGATCTATACACGAAAATATATCAAAAGATTTGAGTTGAAAAAGCTATCAAATTGGTAACACTCTTATAGGGACAGAAGCTACCTATTTTATATAAATACATGTAATCTTCAACACAATGTAGGTACAACCAGCTGCATAGGTATAACATTCTATTACATAATGTTAGGGGTGGAGTAGGAAAAAAATTAAAGCCAAGAAAATGAATTTCTTCCTGCCTATTCAATATTTTCATCTCTTGAATAAAATAAAAAAAAAATTTCAATCTATATACTCTTCAGGCCAACGAGCCATGTAACTTCCAGGCCACCAGAATTTTTCACGGTATCCCGGTGGGCCAATCCGCCATATTATATTTGTTTTACGGAACTTAAAGCGGCCAAATAAGTTTTTTAATGGAATTCGTTGTATAGCACGTCATGTTATATTGCATTACAAAGTGTTTACTGAGTAGAGATTGACCTGTACTCTATAAGTACTTTGTGAAATATCCATAAGTGTTCTCAAAAACTAAAATGTTATTAAAATAAATAAATATCATTTGAAATAGAAAAAGTTAATAAAACTAAAACTTATACAAGTCAAACTAGGTACTGTAGTTTAAAATAAATGATAAAATAAAATAAATACCTCACCGTTTTCTTATTTATTTTTGTTATTAAAATTCAACTTAATATAAATTTACAATAAATGTACTTCAACAAATTTACCGTGATATAATATAATATTATATAGATAAAAAGGAAATAAGGAAATTACTAAATACTAGCAAATTTTATTTAAATAGTTAAATAAATATATTAATCGCTTTTTAATTTCTATATTTTTTTTTTTTTTATATTGATAAGTTTTTTTAATGTTTTTCGTTAATTTAATACATTTATAACCTAAAGAATAGTAAAAATTTAATTGTATGGGAAAATAAAAATTCAATGGACTATAACTTTGGTAGATTTTAAAGTAAAAAATAATTTATCGCGGAGAAAATTATTATTTAGTTATTCATAAAAAATTTGCTCCGAAGAATGAAGTTATGAAAAATTTGTATACGGGATTAAAATGTTTAAATAAATTATAAATTTATTTTGTATGTATAGCAGTACATAATCTATGTACCTATTCATATATAATATTATACGTATCATATTTTATAGAATATAGAATATAGATAAATATAACATACGTTTATAAAATGTACTTAGGTCTACCACATAATCAAATTTAGCGTACGCCACTGTAGGTATAGTTCCCGCGATTTATATATATATATATAAATCTACATAAATTATTGATATTATAGTTCATTAAAAATAATAACAAAAAAATTACCAATGATAAAACTTAATAAAATGTCAAAACTGAAATATTTTTAAAAAAGCAATAAAAATACATTAACAAAAAGAAAAAATTATTGATTTATTTAGAATCAAATAAATTATGTATAAAAATAATTAAAAATTACTTTTTTATCTTATATAGGAAAAAACATATATTTCAAAATCCAAGCCCTAAAAACACTAATTATTACTATGAAGACGTTGTTTTCTTACATTCAAACGTGAATACGTGCGTCCAGTTCAAAGTTCACGCAATTATTACTATTTTGTCACAATTATCTCATTATCTCGAAAATAAATAGGTAACCGTCTTTCTCTCAATTGCTAAATAATAACTTAGACGACGCTCGATGGTCCATTGACGTGTATCACGGCTTAAAATTGTCTTATTAATTATTGTAATATATTTTCATATCACCATTCATGCACGACTTATCTATACGGCCAACTGTCACCGCAGTCCGCAAGTAGTTTTTTACATATACCTTTATCTATATATGTCCACTCTTCATTCATAATTATAATCATATAATGTATAAAATATAAATATATAACATTAATGTAGATAGAATTTCATTACACTAAACATTTTTTTCTAATGGCAACTATAGGAGATATTTGATGCTTCATGCTCGGATTGATATCTGTTTCATATTTTGTTTAATAAAATAATCTACCTACCAAAATGTATTTAGGAATTTTGGAATTTTGGAATAGTATTTTTTTTATAGCATTTTATATAATTTTAAATATATTTTATATGTTAATTTAAATTTAAAAAAATAGTTGTTTCAAGATATAGAATTTTGTAAGACATATTATGTTATAAAAACATAAGAGATTATAACCTAACCACCAATTACATTTTAAATTTATTGTAATACTTTTCTGAATTCCTATTAAGATTGAGATAATTATTAGGTATAATGCGTATTACTTTAATACGATGTGATGAAACCGAAATTATAGTTTAATTGTTATTAATTTTATGATTCAAAATTATTGTATGCTCATTGAATAACATTTTAATAACCAATATATCAATATATGACAAACTTCGATTAACTACTAATTTATTGAATTTTTCCATCTGAGTAGTTCACATTCAGAGAGTCAACTAAACAAAACCTACGACGCAAAAATATCAGATCCATTTACGAATTTACGATTTACTTAGACTTGAGATCTACAAATTCCAATTAAAATTTAAAATGCACCGTGTATAAAGTAATATTTTACTATTATGTACTTTTACATAATTTATTTTATACTAAATAACTATGCAGTATACATGGAACTAAAGCACCAGCGGCGGAAGTAGTCATAATATTATATCCTTGCCGTATTTTTTTCCAAAATCAAGAATAGTATCGTGATTAGTTATGATTACTGCTAGTGTCTGTATATAACTATAACTTATATAAACTCATCCTGTCACCTTATAGTTATTATTCATAGGTCATAACTATCGGTTATTATGTAGCTAGGTACACGAGAAAAAAATATATAAGGGTCTGGTTTTGGGGATGAATCCAAAATCAGAGGATATAACATAATATTATATATTATGATATGGACACACGCGGTGACAAAGAAATTATCCGATGCAAGTCCGCATGCACACTATTTAGTATTTACACAATGTTGCGTGAATGTGTAGCATGTGCTGTGCTACTGCCCATTTTATATTGGAGGCAACTTAAAACTAAATCCACTGCGTCCGTTATTAATCCGTTATTGTTGTGTAGGTAGTAGGAACCTCTATGTTATACCTTTATTGTAAATTGTAATGTGTACACGGTGCGTTACGTATCGTATAATAGTAATTGAGATCGACTGATCGCAACAAAATAATTGGACAGCGGCAGTTGTACATACAACGACTTCTATACCTACCTATTATTTTATATTATTATTATTTATTACTAACTTTTTTCCGAACGTCATTTTTTGCAGTGATTCCCTCCTTTTGATCCTTTTCCTTTCCAAAACAGCACATAATAATTACGTGATTTGTATCGACAGCGCAATATAAATATATATATACAATACAGTATATATGTACGCCATACAATGTATATTATATAATATAAATACTGCGTAAACTGAAAATTATAGTTATAGAACATTGCACACAATGTGTTCCTACATTAAATAGGATGTCTCGCTGTCTTTATCCCCGCTAACCGTCAATAACTTAATTTCTAAATAATTTGTTTGAAAAGCATAATAATAGAAAAATTGTTATTATATTCTATAGCTACCTTACTATTTTTACCATTTATAGTTTATACCATTTATTGTTTCACTTAAACAAAAAAAAAAAAAATGAAGTTTATATTTGTTTTTTTCAATAAACAATTTCAAAATTTCAAATGTGTATCTAATGGTCAATTAAATTTACAATATTTACACATAGTTTAGATTGTTTAATATTCATGTTAAAATAATTATAAAATTTGTGTTATCAAATTATTTTATCTCCATTGGAAATTCAAAGTATTATATAAGTTTTAATGTTTAGATAGGATAAGCAATAAATGAGTACATAAGTGAACGAATGAATATAACGAGACGACCGGACGTTATTATTAAAACACTCTGTATATAATATTGACATATATGTAGTATATAATGTATATATTTATTATATAATATAGTTTGGTATGACTTTGACGGACTCGTAAGGCAAAAAAAAAGCTAGCACGCTCGATGGCGACAACTGATGAAACACAGCAAGTATATACTGTATATACTATATATACTATATTATAGTAATAAGTGACTCGACGTTGTCATTCGGTGGTCAGGTGGAAAAATAACGAGCGCTAATTTCCAAGTATATACCTACAGTATGCGGAATCATTTCGTGTTTCGTTGCTGAAAAAAAAAAGGAAACAAAAATATTTACCTCGCACTATATAAATTGTACCCGTAATGATATAATGATGTATAATAATATATTATGAGTATCGTAATTACTTATTATAGCAA